TGCAGATAACAAAATGTGTAGCTAAAATGAAATAATCTTTTTGAGTGCCCGTTTCATAATAAAGTTATTTCGCTCCCGAAATTCATGGAATTTGAGGCCGCGTTGTAGATTTTCGTGGAATAAGGATCTGGTAATATTTGGCAAATTAAAATGTGAATTAAAATTCCCAAATAAAAAATGCCGGAATTAAAAATAGTACAGGTGGGTACTAAATAACATCGCCCTTCTTGGTACAGTCGTATTTATTTTACATCGTAGAAATTCAGTTTCGACTTTTGTTCTCGGATGGGTTAAATTAAAAAAGTAAGTTCTTTATTTCTAGATATACTATTTTTGCCTTTGCGTGGCAAATAAATAAAGATTGAAAATAAGTTTAAGTTAAAATTGATAATATATCCATCGCTTAATTAAAAGATATAAATATATTTTGTTTCTATTTTGTAAAGGCCTGAAGCCTTTTGAAAAACAAATTGTGTGGGTGTATAAAAGATTCATATTACAGTAAGGAAATAAAAAAAAATAGATATTAATAAATCATGGATATGAAAAGAATATAAAATTTTATATTTTGTTCATTTGCTTTCAATATTTACAAAAAATGTAACAGTAACACAATAACAAAGTTTATAAACGACATCGACATTTGACATTGACTACCCCCTCTATGAGAGTAGCCGTGAAGATATATATTGTAAAATATAAATAGCATAATTTTATTAAACAATCAAACTGAACTCTTAATATTGTATAATTTCCATACATAAATACAATTCAAACTGACCAAAAAAGTCCAAACATGGTAATTGACAGTCCGTTGATGAGGCAGCTAGAAAATTATAATACGAACGTGAATATAAACTATAACATTATTTTGCATCATCCTCTATAAGATCAACACACAGACCAAAAAAAGTCCAACCATGACAATTGCCAGTCCATTGATGGAGCAGCTAGAAAAATATAAAACGGCCGTGAATATAAACTATAACATAAATTTGCATCAGCCTGTATAAGAACAATGCACAGGCCAAAATAAGTCCAAACATGACAATTGACAGTCCATTGATGGAGCAGCTAGAAAAATATAATACGAACGTAAATATAAACTACAACATTATTTTGCTTCAGCCTGTATAAGAACAATGCACAGGCTAAAAAAAGTCCAAACATGACAATTGACAGCCCATTGATGGGACAGCTAGAAAATTATTATACGAACGTGAATATAAACTACAACATAATTTTGCATCAGCCTGTATAAGAACAACACACAGACCAAAAAAGTCCAAACATGACAATTGACAGTCCATTGATGGGGCAGCCAGAGAATTATAATACGAACGTGAAAATTCATTGCAAAACTATTTTCGCTGATGAATACTCGTAACACGTATTCCCAATACAATGGATTCGCTTGTGGACATTCGGAAATTAATAGTATTTCCTGACCGTTGGGAGATGTATTCCATTGCAACTGGTGCGATTTCAATAAGCCATTGTCGATGTGACACGGGAATATTATTGTACTTATGTAGACATATGTGCATATACATTATGTATATATATATAAATATATTAATTTGAAAATTAACAACGATATTTTTGTATTTGATCAAGGAAATCTTTATATGAAGCTGTTTGTTTGGGTAATTCTGTTCAAATTCCGATTTATAAAAATAATTGACGATGCCGGTGGTCAAGCGGTTTAGCACGGCGCCTTATTTGCGTTGTTCGTGGGTTCAATTACTGGCACGCTACAAACATTTGTATTCTCGACTATAACCGTTTGTTTGAGTGTTTTCTATGTATATTATGTATTTACTAAAAAAACTATTACTACTACTAGTAGTACAATACATATACATTATCTATGTATTTGTATCAGTTATCTAGTACCCATAACTTAAACTGGGCCTAGATGGCGCTGTGTGAGATTATTATTATTATTATGCAGTTAAAAAAAAACTATCTATGTATTTACATCAGTTGTTTAGTATAATAACACAAACTCTGCTTAGCTTGGGACTAGATAGCGCTTTATGAGGTGACCTGAGATATTATCATTATTAATAAAAAATAATATTATTTCAATATATTAATCACTCAAAATAATTGCTTAAAAATAAAGTTACTTAATGAAACAAGAAACAGCAGTAGGGTAGCCTCAATCACTGTATTTTAATGAGATTGGGGCTATCCTACTATACTTTCCAATATTCAATGAAATGAGGGATCAAGCATTCTTTTTACCATGACGTACATATCTCTTAATTATAAACACAATCTTTGTTTAATTGTCTATGGAAAAAAAACGAAAACAAACAAATTTAATTCTAGCGAGAGTTGCAAGAAAACATAAATTTCAGTTGCCAATAACTTGCAAGTGTAACGAACGCCGGACAACGTATCGTACGCCGGACGTCCGGACGTTGCTCGCATCCGGATGCAATGTGACAATCCAGAGGAAAGCGGTGGCCATTTTTGTTTCCACTATTGCATTTTATGCACCCTCAAATGGAGTGCAGCGGGGTGATTAAATCGTTATTCCTTTTTAATAGCTTAGAATTGAGTATTTTTTACCTCCTCAGTGGTCCAGTGGTTTAGCACACTGCTTTACTTCCGATGATCATGTATTAGATTCCTCGCACGGTGCAAATATTTGTATTTATGAGTATGATTGTTTTTAACGGTCTGGGTGTTTTCTATGTATATTATATATGCACTTAAAAAAATAATCAAAATGTATATCAGTTGTATAGTACCCATAACACAATCTCTACTTACCGATGGACTAGATGGCGCTGTGTTACCTTCATTAAAGTAACCAGGGCAATTTACTTTGGGACCAGAATGAAGATAATTTTAAAGCCTAGGCCTCGGAACTTTCGCAATCAAGTTTTCTAATACAGAAACAAACTCCAAAATGCAATATGCGAAATTCGAAGCGATGGGAACATTCATGTTCATGTTATTTTTAAGTTTTTTGGCCGAAGCTGATGTAAATACCGTATCATTTTGGTGGGTAAAACGGTTTCCACTAAACTTTCTTTTTTTACTACGACCAGGATGAACATTTCCACTCGTACGTCCACTCATTATGAAAAAAAATAATTTGTAGCTGTTGCTCTCTTGTTGTAAAATAACTTTCTTATGTCTAAATTGTATAAACAAATATATTTTTTTCTGGAGAATAAATGGCACATGTTCTTAAATATAACAATGATTATTGTACAGTATATATAGTATTGTATAACAAAAATAAATAAGAGGCACCGCTGCCAGTACCTTGGGTACGTTGCCTCGACTGGCTACCTCTTGGGTGCAGCGTTGAAATACAATGATTGTTATTTTTCGTTAATATGCCTATAATATGATTAAAAAAGATGTAATTTAATAAAACTTAATTAGTAAGTTCGTAAATATTATAAAGAATATTTTGTTTGTATTCGTGAAAATCTGAGGAAAATAGTTGTTTGGGAAGATTTATGAGAGTAAAAATAAATTGAAAATGTGGGCGTATTTGTAATAGTAATATTATATATACGTTTTACTTACTTCTAATATCATAAACACGGAAGTTTGTGGGTGTGGATGAATGGATGTTTATTGCTCTTTTAAGCAAAAACAACTGAATGGATTTTAATAAAACTTTACATTAATATAGCTTATATATCAGAATATCACAGGCTGTAAATTACATGCGGGTGAAACCGTGAGCTGAGTTAGTAAGGAATAAATAAAAGATTCGTTCCGTTAACGTGAGTACGACTCGTACTGATTTTATTGTCTTCAAAATGATAGCGGTAACAAAATGTATGACATTTTGTTACCGCTATCATTTTGAAGATGATATATACATATCATATCGTATAGTTATAGACATACAATATCCTATAGTTTTCCGTAATCTGTAGATTTTGCCAAGCAGAAGAGGAAACGCCGCTACACATCCTATCTGGTTGTAGCTCATTCATGCATAAACGAAATATCTCCTTTGGGCAGTATACAATCTATCCTGAGGAGATAAAAACCATCGCTCTTAAAAATATTTCCCAATTCTTGTCCCTCACGTATCTAGGTAACGAACTTTGAAATAGAGCGACCACTATAGATCTATGCACGTAGCAGTATCACAGGTTTTGTCACCTGACAATAGCCCAAAACCCCGAATAAATTAAAAGCTTCCATATACTAGCAATACTAATAACTACTTTTACTACTATTGTTACTTTAAGTCTTGAATTTTAGGGGATTTGGGGAACACTTGGATGGAAAGCAAAGCAGTTTTTTGGCAACACTGGCCGCGAGTATAGCCAAATATAGTCCAGTCCATAAGTAATGCGTAGCTGACTGCAACTGAGACCGCAAAATTTGCGCGCAGCCAACCGACTTGTAACAACGATGTAGTTGTTTGTTTCAACCAAATATGAAGTTTAAATGACCGTAAAGATAATGAAATTTCCTTTACCGTCTCGTGAAATGTGTTGCCATTTGCGCCGAATGGTGCCATATAATATTATATTATAATAACCGTGTTACATCCACATTGTCCTTTATTTTTTTATTTTGGCAGAATAGGGAATAAAATAACCAGAGGTAGACTGTTAAATGTCGTCTGCGTGAGACAGTCTGACTTATTTCGGTGAGGAAAAAGGAGATTTTTAGTAATGTGGACTGATCATTTTATTGCTATCAAAAGTGATAATTCTTGGTGAATTTATCACGATGGTCTCACTGACCTGACCTTATGCTAATCTTATCATACTCATACTGGTGCTCCGCCAGCGTAAACCGTTAGCGCAAGCAGGTGCACCATTGTTGTCCATAAAAAACTTATTTCGGCAGCCAAGCAGCTTTATAAGCTGTATTACAGTTGTAGGGGGCGATTAGGTAGTGAAATTACAGGATAAGAGAAATGACATCTTAGTGCTCTGGAACGATAACGAATGAATGGTATAACGGGTGTCACATGATGACGTGTTGCCCGTAGTAGGGCTGTCATGAATATTGGTGATGGTTACGGCTTACTATCAGGTAAGACGTCCGGCTGTTTGTTATTCCAATTAAAAAAAAACTGACCCTATTTTAACATAATTAAATACAGCGTACATTTGAGGACAGATAAAGAGAATAGCAACAGAAAAAGTAAAATTTCTTGCCAGTTCCATTAATTGAAGGAGTCATAATACTCGATGGTACTATTAAATATAGTAACAAAAATTGAAATGCTTAAGTATGAAAGACTGTTTTTAAATAGTGTGCCAATTTACACTTCTTTACGTAGTATAAAATGAAGTCACTTCCGCTGTCTGTTGGCTTAGATCTATTAAACTATATATTTTAATTATACGATTTTAATGCAATTTTTACCAATGGATAGAGTAATTCAAAAGAAAAGTTTATAAACCGGGACTGATAGCTAGTTATGTTATAAATAATTAATTACTGATAGTTTAAAAGTACCTGTAAATAGAGACATCACCTAAACTCATTCATAATTTAAAGATCATGTTTTCCCTTAATATTCTATACATCTATTTACGCTCAAATCATACTCCCGTTACACTATCCAAGTATTTACGCCTTACAAACTTCGATTTACCACAAATTGTATACAATTCATTCATATTATAATTCTAAAGAAATGATAATAACAGCACACGTCCAAGCATCAAAGCGTTTCTTGAATATACGAGTATATTTGACAAGTGTCATATGTAGAGAGATATTCTGTATACACGACGCTCGCGGTATTGTAGGATCAACATCAAAATCACTGAATAAAGCAGTAACTGAGACTTTCTTTAGTGACAGTGTCATTGAGATGTGGGTATATTCGAGTTTCGTGCGGGATGTCCATTTCGTTCAATATCATGTTTAGTAGCAATATTACTTTTCTATTTCGGTCCCACATATTATATTACATAGTAGCTATTTGTTATGTCATTTGGAGAATGGGTTTATATTCAATTTTGTCTTTTTTATGATATTGGAATGCCGCTTACAAATTGCTGAGGCCCCTGATAATAATAATAATAATAATAAAACCAGCAATAGCTGAGAAAAAATAAAGAATAATAATAATAATAATAATGTTGCCATCTCCTCTCCTTAAGAGGGGTGATGAGAATTTTTGGGAAAAAAATAATAATAATAATAATATCAGGACAATTCACACTGCGCCATCTAGACCCAAGTTAAGCTAGCTAAAGCATGTGTTATAGATACTAGATAACTAATATCAATACATACATATTTTTTTTTCGTAAATACATACATATTATAACATAGACACCCAGACTGATACAAACAACCAGACTCATGAATACAAATGTTTGTGCCGTGCGATAAATCGAATCCGCGGCCATCGGAAGTAGGGCGGTGTGTTCAACTGTTAGACCACCGAGACCGTCATAGGCGGTAAGTTGTTATTTCGCCTACATACATATACAATATATATTTTATATTGTATATGTATGTAGCATTTTGCAGATGTCAATTTCATTACTTAATGGATTTGTATCCGTAACAAAATAATACAAATCCATTCAGTAATATATGAATAGCAACACGCAAGTTTGTCGCTTAATCTTTTTGTACCTAGTCTGCATTCCGAAAGAGTAATAAAATAAAAAAAAATACTATTCAAAAATGCTTATATTAAGTTTATTTGAATTAGAATTTTTTTTGTTTCTATTTGACTTGTATTGAATTGTATTACGAACACTTAAATAGACTATATAGTAATTAAAAACCAGACGAAGTAGCGATAAACTCCTAGTAAAAATATACCAATTGCAAAAGCATTTAGTAGTATGTTGAGTCATATACTAAACTATTTTGCGAACTTATATTATATTTAAAAGAACAAATATAATACAATCGGATGTGATAACAGTCATTCAACAAAACTATCGTGATACTGTCTATTATGCTCACTTATCCGGCGGATATCCGGATTTCCGGTCGATTATAAGGATATCAGTTAACTGGATAAACTTTTAGACACTGTTCGTTTTGATATTTCAAAACGTCATGGAATATAAAAGAAAAGAAGATTATAATTAGGGGTTTTTAGCTCATTTAAAGAAGGCAATAGCATATTATTAATTCTTCATCCATCCTCGTCAAATGGCCTCCTCCGTCTTTCGCCAACCTCCTCTATCCACGGCTGTTTGCATTAAATCTTTTTCTGCATTATTCTTCTACTTTATGTCATCAGCCCTTTTTTTTCTATACTGTCTATTATGCTCACTTATTCCGCGGATATCCGGATTTCCGGTCGGTTATAAGGATATCAGTTAACTGGATAAACTTTTAGACACTTCTACATTATTCTTTATGTCCTCAGTCCATCTTTTTTCTATCTTCCTACTCTTATTTTGTTTGTCGGGCCCGGCCATTTTGTTGTTGGAATAGTCCATCTCTTTTCTTTATGTCGTGCCCTGCTCAGTTCCATTTTCATTTTAAAGTAAACTGGAGAGCATCTGCAATATTCTTGCATCTAAGAGAAAGCCATATTAAAAGTATTGATGAATGTTTGTTAGTCTTTCACGCAAAAACTACTAAACGAATTTTGATGAAACTTTACAGTAATATAGCTCATACATTAGAATAACACATAGGCTATAATTTCAAAAGATATTATGTAAATTGGGCGATATATAATGATAAATGTGATGCAGACGAAGTCGCACGTGGCAGCATGTTAATTAACCTTTTCTTTTTGTCCACAGTGCCTATGACGCAGGTGATAGCTGTGGCTGGAGAACCGGTGTACTTGCCGTGTGACATCAGCACGCAAGACGAAATAGACGCCGTCTTACTTGTCCTATGGTACAGGGAAGATCTCGGTACACCTATATATAGGTAAATATTATTTATTAATTATTAACATAATCCTAGTATAATTATTTTGCTTTATTGATTAATACTTAAGTACTTCAACGAAGGGACAGAGTTATATATTCATAATTTAGTAAATCCTATTCAATTTGTAAAATATTCTTTGTAGTTTGAAGATAAAAAATAGGGGTTGATGGTAGAAGTGTGAAAATTAGATGAAAATAAAAAAAATGTAAAAAAAAAATTATTAGGGGTAGATAACCCTTATCACTCAAGGATATAAAAAATAGATAATAGTAATTCTCAGACCTAGTGTATATATGCATATAAAATTTCATAAAAATCAGTCAATCTGTTTCGGTGGAGTATGGTAACTAACATTGTAACACGAGAATTTTATATATAAGATTGGACTTAGTATCTTATTTCTCTGTTTATACCCCGTAAGAGGATACTGTCTAATTATAAATAGATATTATAAAAGAAATCTGTTATACTATAAGGAAGTACTTAAGCTTTGAACCGGAAGTTTTATTAAGAGTTTCTCATCGGCGCAACATCCTCCTGTTCATTGGGAATATTCCATAAACACAGCATCGGCTAAATACGGTCTTTGAATTACCTTGTCGTCATTTGGTCTAAGTGACAAGCAACAGTTATGTAAGCGTTTTTATTATATTGCATGTAAATAGAAATAATACATATTGTTTTATTTCTTAAACTAAAATATAATATGATATAATAAAAAAAAATTGCAAATATAACGTTTTGTATTGTATATAATTTTTTTGTAAAAAAGTAGTTTAACTTTATATATTATAGATAGAAATACAATTGTAGAAATAAGATGAGAATAAGAATAAAATGTATGCAAGTATTTCTAAATTTTCATGTTAAACGTTAAAATACTCAACAGTTTTTAAATTTGATGCTCATTTGACTTTTTGGAGCCAATTCTAGCAGTTTGTAAATGTAGAACATTTTAGAAAAGTTAGTTTAAGTTATCATTATTAATTGTGAAATTAAATGACATATAATAATAGAAAGATTCCTTCTCTAATGTTAAATAATAATTTTCTTACTTACGCATCTGAACATACACTATTGTTTTGTATAGGTATATATTTAATTGTATGTGTATGTATGTATATGTACGATTATATTTTTCATATTTATAAATATTGAGTATATGTGTAATTTTTTATTTAATATTATATATTATATATAATTATTGACTAGTATATAATCTTTGTTATTATTATTATTTTAAATGGTATACCTACATTTTATTTATTATTTTTTTTTAATGCACTGCCCACATAGATCTATGTTTGCCCAATGGTTGACTGGGAGACAATACCTCATGGTGTTAAGTCCACCATATGCATCTATATTTGTGCATAAAAGATTTAATAAATAAAAAATTAAATAAATAATACAATAAAAAAAACAATCTACTGAAAACCAGTTTTGTGACACAATTTTACTATTGTTGCATCATAAAATGTGTTTGTCTCCTCATTCAAAGACTTTAATATTGGGTTTCATTCCATCATTTTTTTTAGGTTGATCTTTGATATAAGTGTATCAATCTATATAAAATATAGAAGTGTTGTTTTATTACATTGCAAAATGCGATATTGATCTGTGGATATGTGCTTTATATTTTTGTGCTCTTATGACATGCACCAAACTCATTCACCTACTCGACAAATCTTCAGAACATTTCAAACAAGACGCGACTCGAAACTTGGCGAAGCCTGAACTTAAATCAGTTTATTTGATTTACTTCAATAAGCTTTTTAAAGTTATATCGGGTAATGTCAATAAATATATTGTGACCTTTTAATTTATTCCGTAAGAAATCCAACAAATACCGTTTGTGTTATATTAATTAACATTGTTATACTTTCATTGTTTCAAAAATATATTTTACTAGCTGTGCCCATGGTTTCACCTGAGTGAAATTTATAGCCTATATGCTATTCTGATATATAAGGTATATTACTATAAAGTTTCATCAAAATCCGTTCAGTAGTTTTTGCGTAAAAGAGTAACAAACATCCATCCATACTCACAAACTTTCAGGTTATTAAAATAATAAAACTAATCTTTTACCAGTAGTACAATGTCCTCTGCTTGGGTATACTGCCTTATTACTTTTTCATCTTACTAGCTTACTGTGCACTGGTTTGAACTGTGAGATGACAGCAAAATAATAGAGTATAGAGGAATGCTTGACGGGTAACACGTGAGTCACGTGGCCACGTGATGTCAATGGCACTGATCATGTCTAAACATATAGACTATCGATCAGCTTGAGTTCAAAAACAGTTAGATTACAAAATTTTATAAAATTGTAATTTATATATTATTAGAATTAGAATACCCGATGGAAAGTGGTACTACTTCAAGCACCTACTTGGTGCTTGAAACGTAGACCTGCGTAGACGACTTTACAGAGTTAACCACGGTAAAGTTAAATAAAAAAAATGTGCGAAAATGAGAGTTTGAATGGGAAATTGGTCCATCACGCCTGCAGCGACTTTACAACCCCGCTGCAGGCGTTATGAGGGGGTTTGTGGGGTACTTACCCCCTAAAAACCACTACTGTCTACACTAACCGTATACACTAGTGAGGCACCACAGTGGAGTATGATATAATGAGTATGAAGTCAGGACAGTTAGCTCATCGTAGTGATTTCATCGAAAACTCATTACTATTGTTACCATGTGGAGATCAAACCAATAGGGTATATTGTTGGTAATATCCCCAATATTAATAGTACCTCTAAGTTGCTTTAGTTATAACAATTAAACTAATGAAATGTTACTTTAAACAGCGTAGATGCGAGGGAACGCGACTTCGGTGTCGCCGAACGATGGTCAGATGAAAGCGTCTTCGCATCCAGAGCCTACTTTCTGCCAGAGAGGAAGCCTGCAGAACTGGGCGTAGACAGGGTTAAAGCATCAGACCAAGGAGTCTACAGATGTAGGGTGGACTTCAAACAAGCGCAAACAAGAAATTCACGGGTCAATCTCACAGTCATTGGTAAGTTGTTTTAGTTAAAAGGACTATTATTGAAATAAGGTTATAATTAACTTTATAACAAGAAACAAATAATGAGTTAGTACAAACCCTGTACCTAATTGATGCTCTAATTTGTTATTGTTACATTATTGATCCACAGATAACAATCCCTGCTTCTGTTAATTTGTTCTATTAGTATTAATACTGTTAGTATTAGTAGCGTATTCTTACTAACAAATGGACCGTCAGCTTGTTCGTCATTTTATAAGAAATAATTATGTACAAGTATATAAATATTATATACATGTAAAGTACATACATATTTGAATTTACATCCACTGATAAATTGAAAACGTATAACCAGACTAAAACCCAATTATTCAAACAAACTAATAACTTGAACTGAATCAATAACTAATTATGCTGGAATATCCGAAACCTAGCTGTTATACATTAATAATAATGAAGTAATGAAACTCAAACACGAGTATTAATCAATTATTAATTATTACGTATGCAAATAGTAAATTAAAGTCATATATATATATACGAACTACAATCGTACATACCAACCAAAATGTGTAGGTATCGTTACATAGTATAAAACAAAGTCACTGTCGCTGTCTGTCCCTATGTATGCTTAAATCTTTAAAACTACGCAACCTATTTTGAAGCTATTTTTTTAATAGATAGAGTTACTCAAGAGGAATGTATATATAATACATGTACACCCGTGCGATGCCGGGGCGAGTAGGTAGTAATTAATATTTTAAATTTAATAGAAATGTGACATCTATACACTTACTATATACTGAGACAATCAGGAACTAATGAAAGCAACTCTATACTGAGAGCATGGTCATAGTCTAATGATTTAATCTTCTAACTTCCAACCAGACGGTCGTGAATTCAAATACCAATAGGCATCAAAATAAAAGTTGTGTTTAAAATAAAAAAAAAAAATTCTGATTCTCCGATGATGATCCCAGGAAATGTTAATAACAAACCAAAAATTATGAGTGACGCAGAAGATATGCCACTTGTCACGTTGGAGTCAGATATGCTGTTTATGATGTTATTTAAATACAATTTTGTAAATGTCAATTAACTAAGACAGAAAAATTTATTTCATTAAAAGTTTTTATGAATTTTTTTTTCTTTATTTTTCATTAAAAGTTTTTAAGAGTTCTTTTAAATAATTTCATGTTAAGCTGTGTCGTGTTACAAGTGAAGTATATTACAAAACTGAAACTTTTGATTGTTTGGTTGAACATATAGCTAATCATAGAAATTACTGAAAAAATTCTTTAGTGTTATGATATGAATAAAAGACCTTTTATCGTGGATGCTGGCTATACAACAATAAGGTAGGACCACAGCTTAAATGAAAAATATTCTAAAAACGGGAAAAATTTAATTTATATTTGTTTTAAAATTATATTTACATATTACAGAGCTATTACTGAAAAGTTCCTTTAGGGTTATAATATATATGTTATACTTTTATCATAGAAGGTAGGCTATACAATAATATACCACGACTAATAAAAACAGAGATTCAATGACAACTGTTCTAAAACGGGGAAAATGTAACGCTAGCTAAGTTGCACAGGTACAACTAATTATATTTTATGATGATTATGACGGCCTCGATGGGCTAGCGGTCTAGCACTCCGCATTACTACCGATTGCGGGTTCGATTCCTCGCACGGTGCAAACGTTTGTATTCATGAGTGTGATTGTTTGTATCAATTTGGGTATTTTCTATATACACCATGTATGTATTTAGAAAAAAAACTAACTATTTATATCAGTCGTCAAAGAGGTAAATACTACCCATAAGACAAACTCTGCTTACCGTAGGACTAGATGGCGCTGTGTTAATTGCCCATGGTTATTTATTTATTATAAAGGTATTAAAAACAAGTTTTTATACCGGTCCCGTATACAACATTCTGATCATAAAATAAATAAATGCGTGATAAATTTCAATAGATATGTTCCAATAAAACAAAATTGTGTATGCTTATAATCCTGCTTTACTTTTCAATTGGAGAAAAATTAACATGCGAGTGAAAGGCGCAACGTAATCCGCTTAGGGAAATACAAGCAGAGCTTACGGAGAGCTATTGAATTTTGATGTTCATGTTATTAATTTCACGTAAATACATACATTGTGTATATATGAAAATACGGGAAATATAATCTGTAGTCTTTGAAGCGTATCTGATTTTATACTTAAATTTAGGTACATATGTTTGTGTTTCTTCGTTTGCATCATACTTACTTGACTATATTTCGCCCAATTTACATTTTTTTTTTTTTTATTTAGCCTATATGTTATTCTGATGTATGAACTATATTACTGTGAAATTTCATCAAAATCCGTTCCGTAGTTTTTGCGTGAAAGAGTAACAAACATCCATCCACCACAAACGCGTTTATAATATTAGTCAGATAATCAGTTATATGCCTAGTATCGTTTAGCCGTAACCTAATTAGTACATAATTATATTATAAGTGTTAGAGAATTTATGATGTTCATAAGTTCTCTGAAATATTTTTCAACCATAAAAGCAGGAAATATTGCAACTGTCATTTTATTAAATGTGTTTCCTTATAACTTTTGTCTACATAACTCGATTTTGATATTTGTTTTTTTGTTTAAAAGCTCATACTTTTCGTGGGGTCGCATATACATTTGATTAAGATCTGTTAAGTATTTTTTCTAAGTTATCCTTAATAATGCAGTTCTTTTTGATGTCTATTATTTTTTATATAAGCATACAATAATAATTATTTGCAAAATATAATTGTAATAGAATACAATGTAATCATAAAGTTAGAAAAAATAACGCAGTTATTAAAATAAATATTACAACATTCAGCTTATCGCATTACTTTAAAATTGTTGAGCGATGCAATCAGTAGCTTGCGAAATATATTGTATTTCTAAAAAAAATATTTATGTATATAAATTATTTATTTTTTATTTACATACTTATGGTTTTTTCAATTTTTCAAATCTATGCAGTGATTTCGGATATTTACTTTACCTAGTAATAAAAGAAAGAAGAAAGAAAAATATGAAGTTATTACTTACCTAGTTGTAAAATCTTTCTTATACTAGTTTAGACACAAATGGAACTGAAAGTAGTTCTATGTTCCAAATTATATATAATACAATTATATCAACATATATAAACAAACACACGGGAGAAACTTCTCGTATATCTGCAGATCCAGAAATGCATTGCACTGAATAAGATTACACAAAGCTAGATGCACAAAGTGTATGACTCTTGGACCGAACACAAAGGCTCCTTTATTACTGTACACTTGAATCCATTATTAGGGATACATTTGTAGGAAATAGTATTGTCGGGATCTGTAACTGCTTTTATAATAGAATAGAATAGAATTTATAAACGTAATTCCATATATTTGTATAATCTAATACATACTCATATTAGAAAAGGTCTTATCTTTGCTCTCAGTAAATAAACTGGAAGTGATGAAGTAGGGGATGAAAGTTTGTACTCAGTCCCTGTTATGAAGGGTACAGCGGGCGTTATTTATGGCTATGATTACTACTTAAAAGCAGACAGTCAGTTTTTTTAATTTTGAGTTCGTTTGAGTTCTCGTAGTTCTTATAGTTTTAGTTGGAGTTCTAGTAGGTAACTAAAATTAAAAGTGATATTAGGATATAATTTTGAATTCTAACGACCAAGAGAGTTTTTATGTATGTTGCATTTGTAACTGTAATTTCAATAAAAGGTTTTATTCATACCTTCATTTATTAAACATATGTTATTATATATGTAATATGCTGAAGCTCACTGCCATCCTTACTAATATTATAAATGCGAAGTAGTTTTGTCTGTCTGTCTCGCTTTCACGTCAAAACTACAGAACTGATTTAAATTAAATTTGGTTCACAGATAGTCTAGTACCTGAGAAAGGGATAGGCTACTTTTAATACGAAAAAGGGTTCTACAGGGTTGATAGGGGAGATGAAAGGTTGTATGGGAGTATCGTCATTTTTAAAGCTAAAAGCTTAAAACCTATTTTCAGGCTGTTGATTAAATATAAAAAAAAAACTGACATTCAGGATTTCTAATAAAATTACCACTAAGGGGGTAGAATAGGGGGGAAAGTTTGTATGGAAATTCGACGAAGTCGCGGCCACAGCTAGTATAGTATAAAGATTATCTAGAAAACTCCTACTATTATAATCTACAAACACAAAACCATCATAAAAGCATAATTGATAGATGCTATAAAATTAATTCGGCGCTTTGCAATTTCCTTATTGGCGTAATAGCAATTTATTATGAATAATTTATGACCTAATATTTATATAAGATCCTTATAGAACGACATTAGGACGATTTGTATTTCTCTACTGATGATGCTAAAGAAGCTACGTGTTATTAGATAGATCAATTGCAGTAGATTACTTTATGTTCTTTTGTATTGGAACATGAAAATCAGGCAAATATTATCTTTTGTATACTCCAAACTTTCGAGATTTAGCGGTTTAGCACATCGCCTTACTTGCGGTAGTCGTAGAATCGATTCCTCGTATTGTACAAACATTTGTATTCATGAGTATGATTGTTTGTCCATCCGGTATTGGTCATACATATGTTATTTATGTATGTACAAAATATGTTTATATCAGTTGTCTAATACCCATTACAGAAGCTTACCTTAGCTTGAGACTAGATGGATCTGTGTGACTTGTCCTAGGAAATACATATAAGGTTAAAAAATTATATAATTAATATTTTTGGGCTAAAAAAACCGTATTGACTCCTGATTGACCTCATTTTTTACTTAGATCACGAAATTGGTTTAATTTAGGTCTGAAAACCTAACTGATGTCAGCAATTTTTTTATAAAATACATTATTTAGCCCGTGTTTATACCTAATGCATTACCGCTCCTGAGCATGAAGGTGCCATAAAACCGTAAAAACTTCGAAATACTTCATCATGTATACCAGATTACTACCAAATCTATTATCACACACGAGCTTCTGTTTCAATTTATTAACGCAGAAATTCCATTCCTAATAAAATACATTATAAAGTTTATATTAATTTTGCACGCACGTGTAAACTGAAGATAGCTATAATACAAGAGTGAAGTAGGCACGTTCCATGATATTTATGCTTCAGCCTGAAGCCTTTGTATGTTTTTATCGTCAAAGAAGTATCTTGTCCCTCAGTTATCTCAAACGAGAATGTATGATATAACTTGCTTTTGTTTTTTATCGGATGAAGAAAGGAGGTCTAATAATAGTTGCAGATTGTTGGGAGACAAGATTGTTAGTAATAGGGTTTTTTTCGAACTATTCTAACGCTGGTCGTAGCTGGTCTTTAGGATGTCATAGGGTAAAACTAGGGCTAATGCAGAGGATGCTCCAAACCCGTGGGAAAACTTATGAGGCGGGTAGAGGCCGACTCTTAGAAGTTTCGAACCTCCTTTCAGGTCGATGTAACTTCAATGTCAGTTAGACCAAGACAGGGAATCAATCGATAGGTTACTGGTGGTGCCAGTATTAAGCAGCTGGATATACTGGGGGTTGAGTACGCAAGATGGTGTATGGTAGTGTATTCAGGACTAGTTACCCCATTACTAACCAATTATCATATCAGCTCAACCTTCATAGTCATTCCACTTGGAGACTATAGTGGTTTATCCTACGCTGTTGTCAACGCCTATCTTTACTAGTGTCCTGCTAAATTCCATTAGCGCTGTCGAAAACACCATTATTACTACTAGTTGCTAGTGATGCACCATGTCAGGTTCTTGTCCACTCTGATTGCGGTCCCTTCTGAAAACTGGTTATTTCCAGATGATTTGTCCACTATGACCTGACTAATCTGACTTCATCCTATCATCCTCCACTAGTGCCCCGCCAACTTAAACTATACCATTATGATATATATATGACTAACACGAAAATGTGTCCATCTGCTAGTTATCTTAATGAAATTTGAAGGGAATACAGATTGTATTATCAGAACTTAAGCTATTTCAACTAAAAAAATGTTAGTCTCGAGTAACAGCTTATTCATAAATAAATACTTGTAGTTTATAATAAACTAGTTGGTCCATCTACGTCTGTCGTTCTTCGTCGTCACATTTTCCTCGTTTTTGCAAGATTTTTTTATTGCAGCTCCACTCTTATGGATCATAACATAATGTTACAAGCCTTTCTTAATAAATGGACTATACAACAATAAAGGAATTTTGTAAATAGACTTATTTAGTAGTATTAGTAGTATTGCCAGAACAACAAAAATTTAACTCTTTATGATATTGGTATGAACATATATTATATTAATTTTACTGTGTTTATATGTACTCAAGAACCTGCGAATATTATTACTACCAAAAAAAATATTTAAGAAACTCTACCAATCATAATCTAATCGATCCCAAATTTCTTCTTGAACTTACAATATTCCCATTAAATTTGCTAAGCCCTTGTTGGGTTTTAGTCCAAAACTCAATATGATGACTTTTCAAATTAATTTCGCATAATATCCCATTCCTACAATCTCGATTTCTAAGGGTTTACAATATCTTGTATCGATTTTGCGTCGACAATCCAATTTTATAAGGAGAAGCATTTAATTAAAATGTTCAAGATTTTCAAGAGGATTGTCGTGTAACCAAAACCTGTTAAACGTAACATCTCTATCGATTTCACATTTAACCCCTTGCTAATATTGTACAGCTATCTAGAAGCCATTTATATATGTATATTGAATTGCCTTGATGGTCTAGTGATTTAACAAACGTTTTTAGTTCCAATAGTTCGACGACCTCGGTAGTCTAGCGGTCTAGCACACCGCTTTACGTCCAATGGTCGCGGGTTCGATTCCTCGCACGGCACAAACATTTGTATTCATGACTATTATTGTTTGTGTCGGTCTGGGTGTTTTCTATGTATATTATGTATGTATTTACGAAAAAAAAATCTATGTACTTGTATCAGTTATCTAGTACCCGTAACACAAGCTTTAGATAGCTTAACTCGGGTCTAGATGGCGCTGTGTGAATTGTTATTAGATTATTATTATTATTGTAGTTGCCAGTTCGATTTCCCTCACGCTAGAACTGAATATTATGTATGTACATTACATAAGTCTTTACAAATGTGTTGTTTTTAGCAGTTGTTTAGTACACAACAGAAGTTCTGCTTAGCTTGACAATAGATGGCGCTGAGTGAATTATCTAGGGTTATTATTATTTTTAACTAGCTGACTGCTCAACTTCGTCTACATCACACTTATTTCACTTTCATCATTATATGTCGTCCAATTTACATAATCTATTTTTAAAATATAGTCTATGTGTTATTTTAATGTATAAGCTTTATTACTGAAAAGTGTCATCAAAATCTGTTTAGTAGTTATTGCGTCAAAGAGTAACAATCATCCTTTTTTGTATCCATCCATACTAACAAACTTTTGCGTTTATAATATCAGTAAAATTACTTGTATCTAAATAAATAATATAGGTTTATATGTAATTTAAAAAGATACGATAAATTTTGTATAGTAAGTAAGAGGTATATGCAATACAATAAAAACTTACACTCACGATTATTATCTGTACCAACGTGGAAAGAATACAGCGGAGAAAAAATCCACTCAAATTACCCTTCCCCAATTTTACTGATCGAAATGATAATAGCAAATCCGGGCTACATCAGGGCTATCAGTAATGAGTTCCGTATAATTTCATGGGCCTTGTTCTTATTAATTTCTGCAAAGACCTCTAATTCCATTGAAATTTAACTGCATTTCAAATTAAACATATAATATTTTTGTAGAAATAATGTATACTCATTCATTCACAGTTTAAGAGCGACTCTCTTGTCGGTGGAGCTCTTGCCACTTTTCACAATATTCCACCATACTCTTTAAACGTTGATAAATATATGCTCTTTAAATGTATACAAATATTATAAAATCAAAAGTTAAACTAAAAACTGTCTATTTGTTTGTTTACACGGCTAAACGGCTGAACGAATCTTTATGAAATTTAATATGAAGCTAGATTATAAGGCGATGGCAAACATAGGCTATATTTAATCCCTCTCAGATTCGAACTCAAGTTTAAACTCAAAACTTACATATAAATGAAATATATATATAAGTTTTGAGTTTATACCTTTTGTATACTTTTACTATATAATTTATCGTACAATAAAGTAGCACAAAGAAACCTTTGATGTTTTTAAACTAGTGGTTACCCAATGTTCGAAATTCGACCATAATTAAATTAAAAGTTTCAACATTAGGAACATTATATTGTCAAATACTATATATACTTCTATGTATATGTAATCATTTTTTAGTTAATTTATTTTAATGCATAATTTAAGAGTTCAGAATAAAAAAATATATTATTATTCTGAACTCCTTCTCTCTTTCAATAAACAATAAGTATGTGAGAAATTTCACTCTTCCGTCTGCGCAATTTTAGTCAAAAGGTGCACAAAGTTTTTGCTTCACGTTTTAATTAATATATAATAATAATTATTTAAATTTTGTCAACAGTACCACCTAGCAAGATGGTGATCATTGATGATAGAGGAGACGTCAAGCAGGCCATCGTCGGTCCTTATGTAGAAGGAGATACCTTCACGCTCAAATGCGATGTGTCAGGAGGTAATCAGTTTATTATTATATAGGTGTATATTAAGTGTACTATATATACGTTTCTTTTATTTAATGTTCGTAATTATAATATTCCACTTATGTACTCAGAACTCTTGTACTGCTATTATCCGCAAAATATTTCCACTGTCACTGCATTAGGTTGACTGGAAGAGATCTCTACCAAAAATAAGCCCACTTTGCTCACATTTTTAAAAACGATGTTATATTATATTATATATGTAACTACAATAAAGATTATATATTATTATTCATATTATATTCATTAATATGATTGAATACCATACCCACTGATAAAGTTTAAAAGCTTTACGAATATAATTAAAGAGTAAATATTACTAATCATTTTATATCATAATTTATATTTTGCAAAATTCGCCGTATACTTTAAGCCTTACAAAACTTTTTCGAGCGAAAAAGACACACAAACAAAATTATCCTTTTTTTTTATATTAAACAGAAAGTGACAGACAATAAACCCCTCGAAGTTTAGCCCATAAATTAATACATTTAACACCCTCATTATGTAGGTACAATGACACAGAAATTGTACTTACAGTAAAAACTCCGGTGAACCCTTTTCATCCTGTTTTATATTCAAAATGGCCTTCAACAAATTATGTATCGTGAGAGGGAAATTAATTAATTTTCAGCAGAGCGAATTTATTACGGTGGCCAGCCTCCCACAGTCGGCCTGTAACCTAATTTGTATATCTAACGCATATCTGTCATGATAAATCTAATTAGTACCTATTTTTTAATAAAATATTGAATTCTATAACTTTTGGATTGACTTTTCAGTCTTACTATCTCTATATAGTATAAAATCTTAATATAGTATAAAATGAATTCGCTTTCGCTGTTTGTTCGCTTAGAAATTTTAAAGTATGCAACAGATTTTATTTCAGTTTTTAGCTATAGATATGAATGATTCAAGACGAGGGTTTCAATATATATTACATGTATATCCGTCTAAAGGTGGGACTAGCTAGTAAATTATGAACAAATTCTGTCATTCAATTTGTAAAGATGTTTTTATAAGAACTTATTTTAGATCAACATTACACTCGGAGTACGCTTAATGCTCTGTGTATTTTTTTTACGACAGGGTATAGGCTATTATTACTCTGTGCTAAAGAGACATGTAGCACATCGAACTACATACATCTATTGTGTTGTTCCTTTTTTAAAGTTCTGTAGCGATAGTTTTATTTCCTCAGAATAGAATGTATTTTCCAAAGGAGATATTTCATTTATATATGAGTGGGATACAATCACTATACAACGTATATAGTACAACAGTAAGTATCTTCAGGATGCTATTCGAGCTGCCCCGTTACTGCAGCGCTTCAGGCATTTGCGGAGTCTCGAACAGATAGTTTTGCTCTATTCATACGCAAAAAGACTGCATCTCTGTTAAACCGAGTACGTGGACCAATCACGACGATTTGGTGTAAAGTACGATAGCAGTGTCTTGAGAGCTATGAGAAATAAACTGCATTTGCTTTGAAAAGTTGCATAGACTTCAATATAATTACATTTTTTTATTAAGTTACTCTGTCTCCAATACATTTGGATATTGTTATTTGATTACATATATAATTATTATTATAAAACATCTTAATAATTTATATTCATAAATATGATTTCCTATCTATATTATATATGTATGTTCAAAAAAAGAAACTAAGTATTTATATAAGTAGTCTAGTACTAATAATACAAGCTCTGCATATCGTGGAACTAGATGGTCCTGAGTGGATTGTTCAGGGATGTTATTTGTTATTGTTATATTGAGACTTTAAAACTTTATTTATATGCAGGTCGTCCGAGACCATGGGTGAAATGGTTCAGGGATGAAGTGGAAACAGATACCCCATCGACGGCGTTGTCAGGGAACGGCGTGCGAGGCGTCATCAGGGTCGGCCCTCTGACCAGAGCGGATGTGCGCGCGGCCCTCACTTGTAGAGCATCCAACCATCCTCGGGCACATCCTATAGAAACTACACTAACATTGGATATGAATTGTAAGTAATAGATTAAAGTAGAAATAGTATTGTGGCATGATAGATAGAGAAAACGTTTATTTTGTTTAATGTTGCCAACATTAAAAAAACACATATAATACGTAAAATAAAAAAGAAAAAACATAGAAACTTTTTCATATCTATTAAATATTTTAAAATTTTGCATGCCTAAAGAGGCAAAATACAATGGGATATTATATTCTACAATGACAACTAAAGTATGCCTATGTTTATAGCAATTTTTTTTTTTATTTGATATTCATACCAGTCCTTTCATCCTCAGAATGTAGCAAAGTGGCTGTAACAGGTTGCCGACAGATTATTTATATTCCTTCTCCAATATCATAAGGAAATATGTGGCAGATTCTAATGCTAACATTACAAAAAAATAATATTAAATTTTTGAATGAAAACTAATAAATTATTATCTACTTTTACAAAGTTTCTGTCAAACAAGATCCTAAGTGGCTGCAACTAAAGGACTTTGACGACTCGAGACGCTGGTTAGAACTCCTCGACTGTAACTATTCCTGTCGTGGTACACTCAGCTTCATATTTATTCATTTATTATATAAGTTGTCTTGCTTTTATTTACTCCAAAAAAAAAGACGACTGGGTAATAAAATAATTGAATAATTTCCATCCAATATTTTAATCAGAAAATGCTGCCAATATATCTTTATATGGAGAACAATTTTTGTAAAGATTGTGTGTGATTTTTCTAATATTTTCTTTCATTCAGATCCTAATAATAATAAATAAAAAAATGTTAACCAAATGCGTAAAGTTTAACATTATTATATATATACATTAAAAAAATAGATACTTATATAAAATTCATACCCTTTTAAATCAGGAGCGAGAGGTCATAATATCTTGACAACAAACTTCAAATTTAAACAGAAATATAGCTATGAGTAATTTCTATTTCAAATTTGTTACTTTAGATGCAAATTAAGATTATATCTTTAATTCCACATAACATAAGGTACATATTTATAAAGCTGACTGTACTAACATAAGTTGGAACTTGTGGACGTTAACTTAACACTGCATGTAGCCACTTTGATGTCTGATGTATTGAGAAAGCGATTATGTTCTTACATTTAACGGGTAAGAAGTAGCCAGAGTTATGTAAGTTATGTAATTTTGCCAGAACTGTTCCTTTAAAGTAATAAAAGTAAAAGTAAAAAGTAAACGTCGAATATGCATTGCACTAATTGTTCATGCACGGGATTTTTGTACACAGACTCAAGTATACCATATAAATAAACTGGCGTTAAAAAAAAAGAATTTCAATTTAGTTTCTTACCAATTCTTTACAATCGACTCTGTATGCTGAACTGGACGATAGTAAAAAAGTATTAATACAAAAAACTTGCCGTTCATAAGCGGCTAAAATGTTCTACATTAATAAATAATTTTCGATTTGATTTAATTTGAAGGAAATTACAGGATAAGAGGCATGTCATCTAGTACTCAGGAATGACAGTAGTGTCAAATGGGGTCGATGAAAATGTTTTTATAAATCAGGCAACGATTACCGTTTACTTCTTTGCCATTACAAAAAAAAATTGGCTAAACATCACACACGCCCGTGCAAAACCTGCTACCTATAGCTAGTTTATGGTACACTTTATTTACGAGATTAGCTTTTAATGCCGTCTACATCAAACTACTATTAAGTTCTGATAATCATCCTAAATCTAAAATAAATATCACAGAAGAACTAACCATTTTTTTCTTATTTCTAGTTCCACCATTAACTGTTCATATGGTGGGTTCAGACCAGCCAATATCAGCGAGCAGAAGATACGACCTGTTATGCCAGAGTTCAGGATCAAGACCCCCAGCTTCCATCACATGGTGGAAGAACGGTCATAGAATAAATAATGCTAAGGAAACGGTGAGTAGAATCTACTACAGATTAGACATCATAATAATAATAATCTCAGGACAATTCACCCAGCGCCATCTAGACCCAAGGTAAGCTAACTAAAGCTTATGTTATGGGTAGATTAGATAACTGATACGAATATATAGATATATATTTTTTTCGTAATTAATACATATTGTACATAGAAAACACCCATACCGACACAAACAATCATATCATAATACAAATGTTTGTGCCGTGCGAAACGTATCCGCTACCATCGAAAGTAAGACGGTGTGCTAAACCACTAGACTATCAAGGCCGTCAAAATTGTTAAATCGTAGTCTAGTCGCCGAATAGTCAACACTAGGTTTTTATGCTATATCCGAACTCTATTCATTGCCATATAATACATCGTTTAGAGAACAAATCGTAATACTGTAACAATAAACAAACAACTGTACAGTAACTGATCTACACCCAGTAGATCAGTTACAGAACTCAGAAGGTCATATTCAATTTAAGAAAGTCATAAACAAGGGTCATCAACTCTTCTAATAGGTCAGATTTCCGCACTGTATATTTGTGGCGCTAAAGGTAGAGTAATTAAACAAAATTATCTAAATCGTAACGCGCAAAACTATGGAGAAACTCTTTGTAAATGAAATTACTTTTTCTTGGTCATTTTAGAGCAGCCTCTTTAATGTCTTTTCAAAATTGCCATGCAAATTTATGGCTGCAATCGTATAAACGACTTTTCGAACTTCCATTTTAAAAGGTAGATGCATGACCCTATTGTTATGGCTCATCGGTTCTGAATTTCCAAAATTACCAGCTAATTTAACATCAACTAAATTTATAGGAGCGCCGTAATCTTTATTACTATAAGAACAACATCCCAGAGTCAACTTAAAATAAGAGCACGTAAAAGTAATAAATGTAGATTGAATGGGACAGCGAGTGCTTGGGGCCTACTCGAATTGGTCGTAAGGGACTCCCTGCCTAAGTTTTAGCTGTAAATGTTTGACGTAAGTGACAAGAGTCCGTCAACTCATGAATGTCCAGATCCTTAGGAGGACGAACAAGTTCGGCTCTTTTGGCTAAACATGTAAGAACAAGTATAAATATGAAGCGTGCCTGCAATACGAACTCGGCTTGTAAAGAAACCAGGAGGGACTGCGCTTCTGGGAGGAGCTTGGCCAGCTACTCTAGTAGTCTAGGCTCTACAGCCTCAAAGACTTGAATAAGAGGCTAATTTTGGAAATAAAGCCCAACATACCACAGAAACTAGCGTGGAACAATTAAATGTCTGACGAATATGTCAAGGCAGACTTTATAATATTATTTGCATAGGTATTTCTGTATCTTATTTATAAACTTTCGGGTTTAGTACATACTAGCTTACCCGCGCAACTTCGTCTGCATTTATCATTACATTTTGTCCAATTTACATTATATCTTTTTAAATTATAGGCTATATGTTATTCTGATGTATAAACTATATTACTGTAAAGTATGATCAAAATCCATTCATCACTTTTTGTTTATAAAAGAAACAAAGATCCATCTATCCATATTAACAAAGTTTCTCGTTTATAACATTAATAAGATTATTAATATAGTAAAACTTGTTTTAACATGGCTAATGCAACCTACACGAAAGATCACGAAAGGTAAATACTTTTATTTACCATACAATTATTCATGTTAAAACCCGTTTAACTATATTAATATAGTAATATCTCTGTATCATCTAATGCAGCCGTTGAATAGCTTGATTTGTACGTTGTGATTTAATTTGAGGAGTTTACTCATCATCATCATCATCTGCTTCTTCCTTATCCCATTTATTTGGGGTCGGCGTAATATGTTTTTCTCTTCCATTCATCCCTGTTCGCAGTCATCGCGTTATTTACTTCCTTTCTTACCATATCATCTTTCACACAGTCCATCCATCTCTTTTTCGGCCTTCCTCTGCCCTTATAACCATCCACATTCATTTGTAACACCTTTCTTAAAATATTATCCTCGTTCCTACGCATTACATGTCCATACCATGATAGACGATTACTCTTCAACCTCTCTGACACCGGTACCACTTTCATAGTTCCTCTAATGTATTCATTCTTTATCTTATCCATTCTTGTCACACCACACATCCACCTCAACATTCTCATTTCAGTTGCATGCAGTCGTCTTTCATCCGTCGCCTTTACGGGCCAGCACTCTGATCCATACAAGTTATTTATATGACAATGAAATTTCAGGGTAAAGAGGCATGACGGCTTAGTTACCTGGAATGGTAATAACAGAATAGTAGCGATGGCTTAGTCCTCTAAATGGTAATACACGATGGGTACTGCGTGTGTTATTTAACGATGTTATATGTTCATGTATATGTATGATGTCTAGCGATATAGCTTCGCATAGTCTCGGTTACGATTCCACGCACAGTACAAATATTTTATTACTGACATGTATAATTATATGTATGACGGCCTCAGTGGTCTACCGGCTGAGCACACCGCCTTACTTCCGATGGTTGCGTTTTTATGAGTACACTTGTTGTATCAGTTTGGGTCGTTTCTATATATATATATATATATTGTGTATGTACTTTAAAAATTATTCTTTGTATTGCTATCGGTATGGTGTTATGGTGACACCATAACACAAGTTCTTCTTAGCTTCACACTGGACTCACTAACATTCCTGGATAATTCCAGGAATGTTATTATATATTATTTATTAGTATATTTGTATTGGTCCTGATATTATTTTCATATATAAATATTTATATCAGTTGACCAGTGCCCACGACACGAGCTCTTCATAGCGTGAGACTAGATGGCGCTGTGTAAATTGTCCAGCGATCTATCTATCTATTTATTTTACATTCTCCATGTAATTTATCAACATAATTAATACACAATAAACCACGTCAATCATTCATAAACAATATAATATGCAGGTACGTACTTACAATATAAGCTAAACGTTCAAATCAGTTTGTTGTATGTAATTTAATTAAAGCCAACATTCAGCTAACATGCCACGCAGAAATTAATATTAACGAGACTTAATTAAAATCAATTTCAACAACATTGCAATATCTGTAGTGACTTTGTGATATCTCATCTTATATTTGTTATTACAAATTTATTTGCTGTTAATTCAATTTAGTTAAATTAATTTACTTTTAAACCTGATCTCTGTCCTCACGGCTCTTTTTATGTAAAACTTTAATTACATTTGTTTTTAAATTATCTGTTGCTAAAGATTTAGTGTAACTATTTTTAAAAAAGATTCTATTAAATAAATCTTTTTTTTCATAGCAATCGAGTAAATTTGATTTGTTTAAAAAACTAAAAGTAATAATAATATTGCTTATAATAATAAATATAATATATTGTATACTGAATTTGACACATAATAACTTGTAACTTGTTGTGCTTGTTATGTGTCTTCGTTCCGAATGAGTGCTCAAACAAAAAATAACTTTGACTAGTCAAAAGTGTTTAATTTAAATTTATTTGAAAAGAGAGATTATTTCGATTTCTAATAAGAAATCACACTCAATCATAAAGCATTCATTAGTAGTAGTTTATATTTTATTTGTAAGGTTTAATAAATTAATTAAAGAAAATACTTAATTTGTGATGAAACAGCTTTCTGAATGAACGTGCTTAAATTAAGTTTATTTGAATAAAGGATTATATCCTTGAAAAACGCCTAAAATACATCTAGTTATTGATAAAATAAGTGATTCAAGATGATTTCTGTATCAAAAATAATTCACAAAATCGCTCATCACTTCCATCTTACAATACTATGAACTCTAAATGTCTTTCACTAAAATATATTTCTCAATTGCTACAATATGTACCCGGACTACCAAAAGCGCCAGTTGTACCAGATAAATGAGCCTAATAAACTATCAGAAAAACTATTGGATATTGGACAATATTACATTTGCTCAGACTACATTTATTTCCTAATTACTTACATAATCTATATCGTTGAATTAAGTACCATAGTTTTTTATATAATTGGAATGGGAATTAGGGTGGCTGTCCACTTATTGGTACGTGATAATAATCACATATATATCGTATACGAGTATGTTATATTATATATTTATAAATATCGTGTATATGAGTCATTATTTATTCAATATTATGTATTATGTTTATGAACTCGTGTAATCCGGTTTTGTTTACATTGTTATTTTAAACTAGCTGTACCAGCGACTTCGTCCACGTCTAATTTAACAAAAAAGTTAATTAGAGAATTTTTCTAAAATAAAAGTAGGCTAATTTACTCCTTATTATATCAGCTACCTACTAATAAAAGTCCCGTCAAAATCGATTTAGTCAGTTCAAAGATTAGCCGGAACAAACAGACCGACAGACAGACAGTCAAAAAATAAAAACAAAATATTTTGGTGTATATACCGTATTTATATTCATACACATGTAGTAAAAAAAGGTTATTTCAATATTACAAACAGACATTCCAATTTTATTTATATGTCATAGATTATGTTTTAATAATAATAATAATAATTTATTGCTCCTCACAAACATAGATGGCAATAAATACTTATACATACATATATATTTGTAAATGCATTGCCCACATAAATCTCTGTTGGTCATATAAATATCACCATATATTTCACGTTATCATGTGTCACCTGTATTCATGCGTTGTCGTTCGTGGAACTAAGATTTCATGCCTTTTATGCCTAATGCCTCATCGCACTCTATAAGCAAATCACAGTTTGGGAAACAAGCTACTTGACCGCTAAAATTGGTGAGAGTATTATAAAGGTATCCATGCAGACTACACAAAGTCTAACTCTGTAAAAATACTTAATACAAATCTGTTCTTTTTTTAAATAACCTTTTCATTTCTATTATATATCCCATACTGGATATGGAACATGTAATATATATCGACCTTTATTATCTTCTTTATGGATTTTATTCAAATTTAATTATTTATTATTTTATTAAAAAACTAAGTTGTAATTGTCAAATCAGTGCAATAACATTTAGAAACTCAATTTATAAGTTAAATTGAACTGAAACAATAATTAACAAACTTTTTACGAACTATTTCTATATAGTAAAAGGACAATAAATAGGTCTTAAATCTTAAAAGTCTGACTTAGTTTTCTATTCTAAACAAATTCACATCATTATTATAAAGAAATAAAAAAGAAAATATCTTGTATTACAAACTGTTTGAAAGAAAATATAACACGCAAAAATCTTAAAAATGTAATTCTGAACAACTTACTGAAACACTTATTCAAAAGAGCAACACTCAAGTTTCTTGCTCATTCTTTTTGTGATGAGTCTGCGTTCCGAATGAGTGGTATAATGAAATAAATATGATCATTCAAAAGTGCTTGTATTAAGTTTATTTGAATAAAGATTATTTCTACTTCTATACTATAAATATTTCTTACTCGCTCCACTTAAGCGAGACAACAAAAAGTGATGATATAAATTAACATGGAGGAAAAACTAAAGCAGTTACCGTCTAGATATTCTGATTTGTTTTGATTCGGGCGATCATTAATGTTATATCTTGATGATATTTCGCAACGTTTTCAGGACGAATTGTAGAGTTGTTCCAATCTCTTTGTTTTGTTTTTCTTCGCGTACTATAATGTGTTTGTTGATCACAACAGTAACTTGTTTATGTTTGTATTGATTGATTAGTCACTATTGATTATAGATATATCGTGATAATTTATTTAAATACTATAATAAAATAATAATTGTTATATAATTATAATGTCTCAGGATAACGTATTCCACTCGTAGTCGTAATCTAGAAGATCAAATCATAATCTAATGAATAAATCGTAAGAGAATAGAGCACCTAGCTTGTGAAGACCACTATACATAATAATTTTTCTCGACAATTCACACAACACGGTTTAGTCCCAAGCTAACCAGAGCTTGTACTATGGTTACTAGACAACTTATACAAATACACATGTTTGCTGAAGGAATATAGCTTTTTATATTATTATAATAATCAAATAAAAATTGGTTACAATTGATTGTACGCTGAATTTAATAGTGACGCCACGGAATTTTCGAGAAGTGAAAAAATGTATAAAACAAAACAACATCAATGTTCCATGCATGACTTCCATATTTGAATTTCATAATTATATTTTTAAATGCATTATTTGGCTATTTGCGTTCGCAAATACCATATATACATTTATTTTTACTTATAATTTCGTATAATGTTCCTTATTTGAATTTTGTAGTTTTATTTTTAAATGCATTATTTTGTTATTTGCGATCGCAAACAACATCGATACACTTATTTTTATTTATAATTTCATATAATGCAATGATGATATTAATAACTTTCTTTCTTTTTCCTGAACAGTTATCAACAGATGGAAACACAACTACGTCAACAGTATCGTTGCAGCTAACTAAAGCTGATACTGGTGCAAAACTCGCATGTAGAGCCTCAAATCCTCAAATGCCATCAGTAGCAGCATTGGAAGATGACTGGACTTTGGATGTACAGTGTAAGTTACATAAATCAAATTAACCTACGAAGTTAATTAATGGCAACATTTGGCTAGAGTAGAACTACTAGATTTATTAATAAATTTATTGTTTCATTTAAATAAAATTAAATTGCGAAAACATGCAGAAACTTCCCCGTATAGTCTACCTCATTTATTTCTGTCACAAAACAGCTTGCTTATTAAAGGATCGAAGTATCTACTAATCGAATAAAATGCATCACAATATTATATGATAAGCATGATACATTCAATAATATTCATAGTTATGAATTCGTGGAGTTCCACGATTATCATATAAGTTTCCATTATATTTTAATTTTCATCTGAGTAGTAATATACTAATATAGACAAATAGAATAGAAGAGAATTCAAATAAACCTAACCTTTAAGCATTTTCAAATTATCAATACTTAATTTTTTAAACTACCGTTCATTTGGAAAGCTGTCTCATCACAAGGACAAGGAAGAAATTTTTCGTGTTACTCTTTTAAATAATTTAATTATAACTTTACATTTTTTCGATGAAATGTGTGAATACAAAATATAATGTTTTATTACAGATGTTCCAGAAACTGTCGTGAGATTAGGCACGAATTTAGATCCAAAAAATATCAGAGAGGGCACCGATGTTTACTTCGATTGCATCATCAATGCACATCCTTATGTATACAAAGTCGAGTGGAGACATAATGTAAGTTTTCGACGATTTTTTTTTCATTTCGTACATAATTGTTGGTACGAAACTCTATTCTCCCAAATTTGTATCTATATATAAATGAAAAATGAATTTGTATTATCAATTTATCAAAAGCACTGCAAACAGATGGTAGATTTGACAAATCATAAGAGTCTGTAATAGACCTAAATGAATAAAGATATTTTGATTTTGATTTCGAATGAATATAATTTCAGACATTTCCTGTCGAACATAAACTGCTATAAAAGACGAATTATGCGTACATTGCCTTTCCGTAATGTAATTATAAAAAGTGCATTCGGTATGTTAGGTTTCTTGTTTTTCATCTTTCATCTCAAGCCCAAGGGTTATGAGTTTTTCAAACTCTTGATTATAATTTGTTACTTCGTCTTCGTTATATAGTCCTTCCATGAATTATTTATATTTAATTTAACTATTACCGTATCTAAATATTACTTTAACAAACGATGAAACATTTTGATATTTACAAAATATCATGAGTAAGTACAAAAGATAATGTTATACAGAATTATTAAGATTAGTTGATTACCATATTTAATTTAGTAAACAGATATTTCGAACTCTAATTTTTCAATTATATTTTTAATTATTGAAATATTTCATATTTCAACAATGTTTCTAAAGCTTGATTAAATAAATATTGGCCGTCAATTTATTACGATTATTTGATATCCAAACAATTTATTTGTAGATAAAATAAAAGGAGATAATTCAATAAATATTATAGGTACTTGTTTCAATAAAAAGAAATACTTGATTGTATTTAGTTTCAAGAGAATATCAAATGTTTTTTTTTATTTCGTGGAAAGTTAATACACTTGACACAAGATCTTTGTGTTTATTGTCCTTTATTTTACGATTGATATAAATAATATGAGTAATTGTTTTATTCAAATGTTACTGTAATTTAATAGAATTTCAGTTATTATATAAATTCATTTTTATTATCTTGTTTTTTTTGTGTTTAAGTAATAATAATAAATGTTTGAAGTACAATTATTCATATATAATTTAAGAGCCACACTCTCGTCGATGGAGCTCTAGCCATTTTCCACGATCTTCCATCAGTCTCTTTAGTTGTCGATACGATATATCTCCATTTTTTTCCGTAATCCGTTTGAACGAGTACGTCAAAATAAAACACAAATAATAATAACTGTTATTCAAACAACGATATCTAGTACCAAGCTGAGTTAGTATTTTATGCACTAAACAACTGATATAACTACTTAAATACAATTTTTATAAATACATAATATATATAGAAAACACTCAGATCTATAAAAATAATGCTCATGAAAAAAATTTTCGTACCATGCGACGAATCGAACCCGCTACTATGGATAGTATATGTATATAGCTTTATATATCGTTATAAGTTAGCGGAAACCAAACTTTATTGTTTTCTGTTTTTATATAATAAGGTTTACTTCAGTGTTGGTTAATACAATGTTGGATGTAATTTTTTTAATTTAATTAACATTATATCCTTGTTTTTATAATTATGTGTTTAATTTACTCCTTCTCTTATTATTATTATTATTTGTGTAAGTGAAAGAAATCTTTAAAGAATTTATAAGATTGGTACTCGGTAAAACCTACAATGTAACCTGCACAGTACCAAAAACTGTAATAATATTGGTATAAGATATATCTATAATGGTACTCCTAAGGTATTGAAGATGAATAACATCATATTATTAAAATAAAGATTTCGAGAATGGTTAAAGAATAAATAATTTTATAATCTGAAGGATTTTCTTGATATAATAATAATACCGGACTCCCATATTTTGTTTATTAACGACGTTTTTCTTCATATCAGGGGAAAACTCTTCTCCACAATGTTGGTCAAGGAGTCATCATCAGCAACCAATCACTAGTGCTTCAAGGCGTTGGTAGAAGGACAGCTGGTAACTACACGTGCGTTGGCTTCAATGCAGAAGGCGATGGCGAAAGCAAACCGTTCTCTTTAGATGTTTTATGTAAGTACTAGTTGCCCGGCGAACTTCTTACCTTACTTCTGCCTCTCTTCTTTTTACTTCTGCCTAGCTTCGATTTTTCCATACTGGTGCCACTGAAAGAAGTATGTTCGCATAGAGCACGCCATAAAGCTAAGTGGAGCGTGGAGTGTTATATGTAAAAATTGTTTATTATTTCTTTATTTTAATTATGTACACCTGGAATTATTGCGATCGTTTATTCTCGATATTGTGTTATATGTTACATATGAATGTGGATGGTTAGGAGAGCCAAAAATGAGATGGATAGACTGTGTGAAAGATGATATGGTAAGAAAGGGAGTAAAGAACGAAATGATTGTGAACAGTGAGGAATGAGAAGAGAAAAAGATATTACACCGACTCAAGATAAATGGGATAAGGAAGAAACAAATGATGTTTGTACATTACATTTTAATTCGAGTGTCTTCGTATATTTCAAAATATATTTTTCGAGTAATTTTCTGATATTTTAGTAGTTATTCTGCTATTCCAGAAGCAGACGAATTCAACAAATGTCATCAAATGTTGTTGATGTTGCTTATATGATGTTGTAAATGATGTTACTAACCCGAATTTGTTAAATATATATGTATACGATAGATAATAGGTTTACTGAAAGATTTGTTATAAAAATAACAAAGAACAAGTTACTTGATATCAAATACCTAAATAAGAGAATAAAAGGATCTTTAGAGTTTTTTAACTAATTTCTAAGAAATATTGAGTAAAGGTAGATAATACTAGTATATCTTCATGCCATCTGGTTAGTTTATCCATATTGTTTGATAAATAGAATTAAACAAACGCCAAATAATACTAAATTTAGACTCTTTCACTGTCACTGTAAAATAATTTATTTACTTATTTAACTTTGATGTATAAATACTAATACGCCTAGCAACTAATACCACTAGTCAAACATAAGAATAATAATATCAGAATATGTGGTAATGTAATTCAGAAAAACCTCAAACTAGAAGTTAGCTATATGAATGATACCTTATTAACGAAGATTATTTATACTAAACAGATGCACCAACATGCAGAAGTTCCCAGCAAAGGGTCCATGGAGTGGCCAAACAGGAGCGAGCACATATAATGTGTCAAGTTGATGCTAATCCACCTGAGGTGACCGTAAGTAACTCTAAATATATATTACTAGCTGACACGCAAACATTATTTTGTCATATAAATTTAAATCAGCATTATTTTAATACCATATTATAAAAAAAAATTGGGTCGTAACATAAATAATTTTAGGTAAATATAAGTATTTACCTCACTCCAAATAATGTTATGGTAAATAAAGGTCTCGACGTTTCGACTAGTTTGCAATAGCCGTGGTCACGAGCTGAAACATCAGGAGAGGTAAATACCTTAAAAAATATACTATAAAATTGTTCACGTAAAAATCCGATTAGCGATATACATAATATCTATATTTATGCGTGAGATAAACAGGAAAAATAAAGAATTAAATAAAATGAATATTAATAAAAATAAAGACATAAAATAAATAGTGAAAAATATGAATGAATGAATAAAACGATGAATGAAATAAAATTGACTGTCTAGTAAGTTTTTATTTCATTCGTCGTGGATATCCATGCAACATATTTAAAATTACACTCACTTATTAGAAATGTAATTAACTAAATTGGGAGTATATGATACAATAGGGGACGTATATCATTTGCTGATGAAATGTGTCAGGTACGAGAGTTTACGATACAGAGTAACGTCAGATCATAAAATAAACGTTTTCGATATAGGTGTCATTCAAAGTGTTTTAGCTAATTCTTCAGATAGTGCTTCAAAGGCCATTTTCTCACTGGTGAAGTGACATAATTATTAGTTTTAGTGTACTATGGGAGTAGCACATACTTTTAATTCGTACAAATTCCAAAATTTAAAAGAAATAATGTTATATTAAAAATATTTTTTTGATTTAATTTTTGTCAGCTGTAACTACTATAAAATATGTATTTTTCTATTCATTACTAATTGTATTATTAACATAAATAATGTAGTAATGAAATTATAAATTGAAAACTGAGTGGTACAAATAGTATATTTCTTAACGTTAAATCTAAGATGACCTTTAGACGAAATTAAACTTTATAACTTGAAATTTATAATTAAAAGTACATTTTATTATTAAGATATTTAAGTTTCTTATAAAACATTCATAGTATTCATAAAACAATAATAAAATCTTATATTTTGCGCTACTACCCAGTACCATAACACCTGGATCTTTGTTATTTTAAATTCATTTGCAAAATTTACCCTTTAGCTGTACTTGAGTCCTTTCCAAGAGGATGGATATTGCGGACTCCGTTGAATATCTCTAAACCTGGATTTTCGTAATGATCTACAGCGACGAAATACATAATATGGCCACTAAATGTGGATCAGGACTTTAATAAGCTGCTATACCTGCTTTCTACCATAACATCAGTAGTAAAAAGGTAGTTTATAAAGGTATAATGAGACGAGATAGGAGAGGCTTTTAGAACTTTACCTATGAAGTGTCAGTCATGACAGTACAAATATTACGAAGGTTTTCTCACAACTTTGATACATTTTGTCATTTTGTTTGTATTATAAATTTAATTTCCTTTCTGTTTCTAAAATATGTCATTTCATATCCAAAATATTTATAAGTACATGTCAAGTATTTCATATAAACAATTATTTATATAAAAAAACGTATTTATAACATATCTGTACTAATATTGTAAAGGGGTAAATTGAGTTTGGATGTTTAGAGTAATCTCGAGTACCTACTACTAATCTATTTTGTAAATTATTAAAAATTAGATAACCCATTCATCGAGGATGGCTATAGGCTATATAACATCACGCTAATACTAATAGGAGCAGAATATAATAAAAATGTTGTAAAATCGCGAAAAATGGGAACAGATGAAATAGCGCTGTTCAGTTGTCTTTTTAATTACAGTTACAAAGTGTTGAACAGAATTACATCACTGTAATAAATATATGATATTGTTTGCCTATACTCCAAACTTCATCTAAATTATTACAACTTTCTATATGTACTATCCCGCTTATTGTTTAAAATCGATCAAGTATTTATCCAATACATATATACAGATATATAGAAAAAAATATTAAACATACAGTACCTACTTCTAAAGAACATTTTTATATTATTTTTTTATTAATGAAAAAAATATCTTTTGTTAATTTAAGGTTGACGAAAGTCATCAACACACAATGTTACAGTCTATACCTACATATGTTTCAATAAAAACGTATTATTAATTAGTAGTATATTGTCATTTCTTCATAAATATATCCAATTTCATATATAACATCTTATTACTGAAGACCAATTACTTTATGTGATAATAAATCTAGAAAATTATCTTCTTGATTGCTCAAACTAATAAGTGCTGAAAGTAATCACGTAATGACACTAATATTATATACCGATACTATTTTTATTAACACAAAAAATAGCCTTGTTAACTCAAAAATAGATTGATTACGAGGCCTACGTAATCAATCTATTTTTGAGTCAAATTCCATTAATATCTATTCAGTCGTTCAGCTAATTAAATTACACTAAATTAAAAAAATGATAAATATATAGGTACTTATATACAGTTATATATATAAATATATATATTCTGTTCTACGAGCTACGTAGCCGTACGATAGCCGTTGGGGATATAAAGTCCTCGAGTGGCGACCACGGACCGGAAGACGCAGCGTGGGAAGCCCTCCAGCAAGGTGAACCGACGATCTGGTCAAGATCGCTGGTAGGCGATGGTTGCGAGCAGCGCAGGACCGATCGTCGTAGAGATCTTTGGGGGAGGCCTATGTCCAGCAGTGGACGTCTTCCGGGCTAAGATGATGATGATTATTTATACCTATAATTAGGAAAAATCACGGGATCTTATCACGTTTTGTTTATTTTTATTGTGTTCTACAACTACTAACTACGCAACGCAACAGCTATCTGTTGCTAAAAATGCGTTAATATCCGTGATTCAAGAGAGATTTATATGTATAATACATATACACCCGAGCGAACCCGGGCGGTTAGCTAGCACTATATAAATTATAACACAGATAAAGGAACACAAACTAATGTACACAATATTTCAACAGTTTCGCTGGACCTTCAACAATACAGCTAATAGCAACGAAGTTAGTGATACGTACGTCTCCAGAGCCGGTACCAGTTCCACTGTCACCTACACTCCACATACAGAGATGGACTATGGCACATTGTTGTGCTGGGCCCATAACCGAATAGGCAAGCAGAGGGTACCATGCGTGTACCACATTATTGCAGCTGGTAAGAAATCTTTACATTTTTAATTACGTACTAGTACTTAATATAAATGTGTGTTATGTATGTATTTACATTGTTATTATATATAGATAAACAAGAATTTTTATTTGTATTGTTAATACACAAATATAGACTTAATTACAATGCATTACAGATTATTAAAACCAATGCAATACACATAGTTCAGTGTGGAAAATCACTCAAGAATTTTCATTATATACTAACTTATTGCTTTCAAGACAAGTTATGGTCCATAAAGAATCATGAGCTTTGTTAATAAACAATTTTTATGATAATTTGTTACTTTTGTCTTATTTCACATTCAATTTCTATATTATGTATTTTTAAAGTCAAACTCAGACTAACAACTTATATATTATGTGGTTTCAGAGTTAAACTCAAAACTATTTTGAATAAATAACATAGGACTTTTGGCCTCTCTTGCACATTATATTTTTAATCACTATCTCTACCATCGTATATCGTCAAAGTTAGGCTAGCTATTTTAGAGACTAGCATGTAACTAACTTTTATAATGAAATATGTATTTGTTCTACAGGTCGACCTGATCAAGTACATAACTGTTCAGTAGTAAATGCTTCAATGACATCATTCGGGGTTCGATGTTCAGAAGGTTTCAACGGCGGCATGCCACAATCTTTCCTGTTGGAAGTACGCGAAATAGTTACACAAGTAAGTAAATCAGTTATTAGATATTGATACTCTGTTATATATTCTGTTTGTATGACTAAAAATTATAATAACTCAGGACAATGTACACAGCGCCACCTAGTTGCCAACTGAAAGCAGAGAAAAATAAGATAAAAGAAATAATAATAATACCGGTATTGTACCCAAAACACTTCAAAATAGTCTGCAAACATTAAACATTCATCCATCCAAAACATAGTTGCCACAATATTAAATATAAGCAACAATATCTTACCCAGCACAACCTCTCCCACACTTGGCTAAGCTGAGGATAAATAAGATAAAAGAAATAATAATAATAATAAACACAGAAGAGTTTCGTGAATATAAAATATATAAATAAATAATAATAAAAATATAATATACAGAATATAATATAAATTTCATAACAAAAAGCGACTTTATCGCTTAAAGCAATCTCAAATACATGATGATGTTAATATATAATATACATATTTATATACACGGTGTATATACTACAGATAAATACATTTAGAATGTTCCAAATAAGCTAGCTTTCTTCAACTATCTCGCGAGTGCCGTGATGGAAACGCTCCCGATGTGAGATTAATAGCTTCCACTGGGAACTCCCTAGGTGCTCGTTGAGTTTATTCGCCTGAAATCTTGAAACTGAAGACTTTGTTCTTGACATAACTATATCAAATACAAAGTCTCGATGTGACGTTTCAAACAAAGTTATTATAAACTCCAAATATGTAGTACTATGTACAACACTATACAGTTATTTATTTTTAAACTTTTGTATTGTTTTACCGGATCTCAAACGTTGAGAGAGGTAAATATCTTTATTTTCGATAAAATCAGTCGTATTAGGACGGTTAAGGCTATAAATTAAACTATATATCTTATCACTACGACTGATTTAATCTTATTGTATATTTATTATTTTTTATTTGACCCAAAAATGCTGGTTGGTAGTTTGTATTCACACGTTTCGACTTGTAAATGTAAACTTACAGGGATTATTAAAATGAGCAACACAGTTTCTTGCTCGTTCTTCTTGTGATGAGACAACTTTCCGAACAAGCTATTCTAAAGTGCTTAAATTAAGTTTATTTCAATAAATGACTTTCTATTCTATTCTATTCTATAATTAGATATTTTTTTAACTAACAATAAACTAAAAATAGAAAATATCTCTGAGTCTTTCATGTAAGGACATCTCACATCTAAATATAAAAAATACATCATCAAAGAAAAATCTAACCAACTGACATACAAGTAATAACAACTGTAACTAAAATGGATTATCAGCTTCTTTGTCTTAACTTAAAAAAATCTCGAGTTTTCCAGAAGTTAAATTATTATTTAATTTAGAGTTGTCATTTTTCGTACGATCCACTGGAAAAAGTTTTTAGAGCTCTTGAGCAAATATACGAGATTTCTTTCTAGTCCAATTTTTATACACAGCTATAATAGAGTAGGAAGTCTACCTGGAATGAATTCTCACAAGTTGTCTCTCAAATTTAATGAAATTACAAGTATTATTATCTAAATTAACCCATTTTCATGTTTCAAACTTCCAAATACCCCCTTATATGTATTTAATTTCCTTTGTAGAACGCTTACAATGTAATTAAAGAAGAATTAACATAATACATAGTAATTATTCCGACAATTAGCAAACAAGAGAGTTCCTTGTTAAATCAGTTCACATATTAAAATAGATTAAAATAGTATCTTTACGTCTATTACCTCTTACGTCTGATGAGAAGTAATTACTTGAACAGTCTGCTTCAACAAAGTAAGATAATTTCAGTATTAGCAATCTAGACGGTTTAGTATTACAGTAATGAGAAATTACGTCATAATATTGTAACATCAGATCATTATGGATTAGTGGTTTACTGGGCTTAGGTGGATCGACGACATACGTAGGGTTGCGGGTAATAACTGGAAGAGAAGGGCTGAAGATTGTGCCCAGGAAGACTGTGTTTTTTTTTATACTTCTTTCTATTCTTTTTTTAATATTATATTCTTACTCTCTCCTAATCTTCTATCTGTTTCCCTGTAACGTTACAAGAATTAGGAATATTGTAAACTTATTTCCAGAGTTATTATTATATATACAACTAGCTACTCGCGCTATTCCATTATAGTTTTGTACGATATTCTTTATTTATTATAACATATACACCGATTTTCAGTATTATAAATTACTAGCTACTCGCCCCGGCTTCGCCCGGGTGTACATGTATTATATATATAAACCTTCCTCTAGAGTCACTCTATCTATTAAAAAATCTAAATCCGTTGCGTAGTTTTAAAGATTTAAGCGTACAAAGGGACGGACAGACAGCTAGAGCAACTTTGTTTTATACTATGTATATATAATACTAGCAGTCGCAGCAAACGTTGTTTTACCTTAAAATAAAATAAAAAATTTAGGGGTGGACTACCCCTAACATTTAGGGGGATGAAATATAGATATTAGCCGATTCTCAGACCTACTCAATACGCTCACAAAATGTCATGAGAATCGGTCAAGCCGTTTCGGAGGAGTATGGGAACGAAAACTGTGACACGAGAATTTTATATATAAGATAACTATACAATAATAACTACTAGACTAATAAATGTAAGAGTCTGAAAATAAAAAGAAATGTAGTTCATAATATCAAAAGACATTAATGTTTCTATGTAGTTTAATATCTGCTATTTCTCTAAATAGGATCGGTAGCGTCTACATCTAAAACTTAGTAATTATATTTGCTCAGTGAATGTATCATTTTGGTACTTCTGGAGATTAATCGTGCTCTTGTATAACAGGTTCATTAAATTGTATATTCCTTAATATTAGATATAGGCTATCTACTATAGTATTTTATACTATTATTAATATTAAATCGCTTATTGTATTTATGTATATACTTAGGTCGTTATGTATTTATATAGTCATATATATTTGCTTTGATATATTTAGTATAGTATCTTTTTATATATGTATTATAATATGTAGATTTATTAACTGTACATAGTAATATTCTATTTGTGTAGTTAGAACTCTTGCACTACCAGTATCCGCTAAATATGTCCACTGTTACCATTAGGTTGGCTGGAAGAGATCCCTTTCAGAGATAAGCCCACCCTTGCTCACATATTTATTTATAAATATGTTGTTTCTTACTATGTATATAATAAAGAATATATTTTAGACGTCTTAAAAAAGGAAGAGCTCAATCCTATTGTTTTCTAGTGTTATCGTAGAACATTTTTCAAAGTGAAACATGGACATGTTATGCGGAGAAGCGAGGATCGCATCTTAAAGAATGTGTATAATATGAATGTGGATTGATGGAAAGGGAGAGGACGTCCTAAAAAAGATGCAGGTATTGTGTGAAAGATGATATGAATAAAAGGAGAGTATGCTTAGATATAACAGGCGATAGAGATCACTGGAAGAGAATGATATACTGCGTCGACCCCAAATAATGGGATAAAAGAAAAGCAATGTTGAGTTTGAATGAAGTGAAAATATTCTAACGTTTCCATTTTATTTAAAAGCTGGTACTTTTCCTTGGTCCCATATAAATTTGATCGATATTTAATTTTTTTGAGTTATCTTCAATAATGCGTATTTAATTGGTTTCGAATACGTTGATGATGTTCTCATTTTATTATTATCGATGTATAAATTTTTAACGATTGAAGACCGTTTCTCTTTTCTGTATATGGCATTACTTATATTAAAATGAATACCAATTAATTAAAGATTAAAGAATTTTTTGTATCCTATTAATCTAATAAATTTAAGTCCATTATTGGCGCTTACCTATGTCCGTATTTGACTAATCCTAACAATCATAAAAATTAAAAATTATTTAAAAGAGTTTCTTGCTAATTCTTTTTGTGATGAATCTGATTCCAAATGAGTGGTAGAATAAAAAATATGATTATTCAAAAGTGCTTGTATTCAGTTTATTTGACTAAAGATTATTTCTATTTCTATCCATGTTCTATTTTTTTCTAATATCTGCTTCTTTATTTTCTACTTTCTATTCCTACTATTTTAGAATTTCATTTATAATACTTCCGATGGATTGAACCTTATTCTATGTTCTCGTTTGTATAATGAACTCGCAATTAAAACTTCTTTATCTATATTTAGAAGTAGAAGTAAGTTGCTGTTCAAGTTTCTCATAGCGTCTAGAATGTCAGATGATACATAATTAGGTAAATATGGTAAACATTACTAGGCTTGTAACTTGTACTATGAAACTGTTATATTATATGTTGTATATATATACATTAGTATGTAGATATATATTTGTGTTCATCATATATATTTACAATAACAACTGTTATCTTTGTTTGGGGAAGGAACTGACTCCTAGATACAGCTCACGCTAGTTTGGAAGTGTGGACTGCATCAAACTGTAAACTGATGAAAGTTTAAATAAATAGTAAAAAAAAATCATACGAATAGTTGCCTCACTTGTATCTACTTTGCGTTACTATTTTTGCCTTATAAGCGAAGATCTTAATTTTTCTGATTTGGTATGATAAAAATTGATATTGAAATTAATGAAATCGCAAATAATAATTTGAAATCAGTGATTTATTACACTGATCACTGATATATTATTTATTATTTAGTTATTATTACTACAATTATATTATTATTATTATACAATGCTCTGGAGATGGGCGCAAATAACTGCAACACAGTTTTTGTAAACTAATGTAGTGGTTTACGTTTAACATGTTATTGTTATAACTTTGTTTTTAGTTTAAATAAATTCTTTAATTCTAATTATCGGTTTATATGTATCCTCTCAACCTACAACATTATCTTATAATAACATATCTTATCCATATCCTTTAACGTCTCCAAAAACGTAGTAATTATTGTTTTCTCTTTGATAGGAAATCGTTGCAAACGTCTCAAGTGCAGTACCTCGCTTCATGGCAGCAGGATTACAGCCTGGACGTACATATGCAGCAGCAGTTCTTGCATATAATGCTAAAGGAAGAGGAGACCCTTATCCATTGAGAGCCGGTACATTGAGACCACCAGAGAAACACCATGTTCATGATAAAAGTTTAGGTAATGTAATATACACTTAATTAGCAAATAGCTATTGTTTAAATTTAATTGACAGAATGTCTACATCTATATGTATACAACCATACCAATATAATAAAAAGAAAACTATATAATATTTCTGCCGAGTAACAGCGCTGATTTTCAGCGGAGGTTTTAGGGTAAATAATAGCAGTTAAAACAAGTACTAAAAAATATCTGGACTTCATTTCTATTTAAACAATCACCAATCAATTTATTTGAAAGATACTTCTGCATAGTCTGTGAGTAAGTCCCTGTATCATCGAAGTCTATGGATGACTGTACTACTCGTATTAGCAATATACTGGTGTATAGGTGCGATGTAAAGAGGCAGAGTAATTACAGTATTCAAAGGCATATCGCCTTAATCCTCAGAATCGGTATGTTTATCCAGGAGACATAGAGGATTACAATTTTCCATCAAATGGATTAACAACTTATTTGCTATGCCAATAACGTTAAAAATATCTGCGTTCGCAGATGTTAAATTATTTTTGAGCAGAAAAATGGTCAGAAAAATAGATTTGTTTTGAAATTTCATGAAATATACTCTTGTTCATACAGACTTACCAAGAACAGCCTTCCAAATGTCCGGGGCCATGTCCGCGGCGGTCGGTGGAGGTGGAGTCCTTATGGTTGTGCTAGTTCTCTTCATGATAGCAGTGAGGCAACGATGTGCTAAGAGGAAACCAAGGTCTGCACCACCACCATCCTCACAACCAGCCTCTCCTGATAAGCTAAGAGAGAAAGATGATAGCGAAAGTGATGATCGTAATCCGGATATAATTCCATCGGACACTGATCAGATGCAGGTAAGAATTTTAAATGCTATTTTCATATTTTATTTCATTTACTTTTAAGTTTACTTGACACCATAATACGTCTGAGATGGTAGGAGTATGAAACCTACTTTTTTTTATTTATTCACTAACTATACTCGCGACTTCGTCCGCGTGGAATTTAACTTTATTTTTTAAAATAAAAGTAGTCTAAGTTACTCCTTATTACATCAGCTACTTGCCAATAAAAATCCTGTCTAAATCAGTCCACCCATTTCAGAGGTTAGCCGGAACAAACTGTCTGTCTGTCTGTCTGACAGACAAAAATTGTAAAAAATGTTATTGGTGTATGTACCGTATTTATTTATATTCATATGCATGTAGTAAACAACGGTTATTTCAATATTACAAACAGACACTCAAATTTTCTTTATTTATAGATTTAATAAAGGTAAGTACATTTATTTTCATACAATGACTCGCCAAACTGCAGAACAGTTTGTTAACTTCTTACTACACAGAGTAATGTAAGCAGACGAGAATTAGGTTGGTTAATTTATAATCTGTATTTCCATCACCAGAAAGCCAGTAAAAATATAAATTACCAAAAAGTACATCTAGTTCTATCTCACCAAACAGAGTTATCTACTCTTTACTTACGACTTTGTATTCAAAATATCTTTATTCATGTAGATCTATTACAGACTCTTATGATATATCAAATCTACAGTATTAAGTATATATACTAACATAGTACTTTCTTCACTCTAGTTGGATTATTACCGCCAGCAACAAGTCTCGACTATTTCCCCTCCCCTGAGCAGTAGAGGTCCACGTGGAAGTGTGGCTGGAGTGCGCGGTGGTCTGCCCGGGTACTGTCCACTACGCACCGCACCGCCTCCATCGCATCCATCGATGCACGACCCTTCTGTAAGTGATATTACTTTCATACTAGCTGTGCCCGCGATTTCACCCGCGTTAAATTTCAATATAAAATATAGCCTATATGTTATTATGTGTTATCTGATGCATAAGCTATACGGTAGAGTTTCATCAAAATCCGTTCAGTAGGTTTTGCATGAAAGAGTAACAAACATCCATAGTTATAAACTTTCGCGTTTGTTAAGATAATCATCATATCCAACACCTATGAGAATACTGGATTAAGAAGAAAATTCTAACTTTTAGATTCTAATTATTTAGCTTAGATAGCATGGCATATAGATGGAGTAATGACAATTGTAGTATTATGGGTAAGTTGACGCGTAAATGTTAATCGTGCCTTGGAAGAGGCCTATATCCAGCAGTGGACTGCAATGGCTGAAAATATATTATAGCACAATGTTAAAAATATAAACCACTTTAAAAATTAATCTTACGCTATAATCTGAAAGGGCCTCTACTCAGCTGTTGGCGCAGCGTGATTGAAGAACTGATCATCAAAACTAGACTTTAAAGTTATTATTTTAGAGAAGAATTTACAAAATTGGATTTTTTTAAATTAATCCAGTATTATATTAAATGTGCGATATACGAAGAATGTTTTAATATTGCTAGAAAAATAAGCTGCTACCGGTAAGATGTTGTCGATAAGTAATAACCTCCAACGTTTATAATAAAACAAAAAGGAGCTTAATATCTAAGCGTTAGAGTGCCAGTTTGAATTACCATGTGGACTGTGGAATTCTTTTCGACATAAATAGAAATTTCATTATTATGCAGCTATATAAAAATAAAATGTCGTTGTGTTTGATTGTGAAATATTTAATTTATATGTATACATGGACCGATAATGTTAGATAAATAATATTGAAATGCCTGAATTTAAATAAATAAATTACTAGAAATTAAATAAATATTAGAATAGTACATTTTGACTGATCTAATTTTATATAATATCTAAATTAGATCCGTAATATATTTTTTTTTATACGCCTTAGTATATATTATATCTTAGGATGTTGATAATCAATTATACTATGTAATAATGTTTTTACATATTTTCTTTTTGGGATGAGAATAAGATCAATTTGAGGCAACAAAGCAAAGCGACTTTTAGCAAGTTTCTACAAATTAAAACACTTTTCTTGAAATTGTCTTTATTTTAGTGAACACTTGTACTGTATTGTATACTGAGGGGCCCCGTTGGCTACTAAAGTGCTTAAAATAGTAATAGTAGTTAAACAAAGCCTCTGGAATACGGCCAATACTGGATGGACCAAGGCGTGACTTCCTTGCACTGAATTCTGGCGCTGTACCAAATTAATGATACATACAGAAAATTACATAATATATATATATCTAATCAATTGTTGTAAATATATATATAACAATAATAAATTTATTTTCAATTTTTAAATCAACGTTTCATTATATTGTATTTAATAGTAATATTATTATATTATATATTTAGTTCAAGAATTATTTGAAGAATAATTTGGTTGAATGCGCTTAACTCAGGAACTACTGGTTCAAATTTGAAAAGTTTTTTAGGGCTGAATTCCCCATTAATTGAGGTAGGCTTTAGGCTATAATACAGATCAATAGGAGTAGAGTATAAAAAAAATGTTGCAAAAAATAGGATAAATTTATATTTACATTTTAAGAGCAGACGCAAGTCATCCAACAATAATGAGAAGACAAAGTTGCGAGGATCACCTAATTAATAATATTTTTCTATGTAACAATAATAAATATATATATATAGTAAACTTCACTTCACTGCTCACTTTTAATTCTTCTTTTTGCGTAGGAGTCTACATTCCAAAATTCTTCATCGGGCATTCCACCGCCCGCGCGCTTTGCCGCGGGCTCGTGCACTTTACCGCGGGGTACAAGTCTCGCGGCGCCAGCGGACGCGCGCTGCGGTATACCGCTGCAGCACCTGCGCACGCTACCGCGCCCGCTACCCGCGCCCGCGCCCGCCTCCGCTCCGCGCATCACCCCGCGCGACACTCCGCTCTGACAGACGACCCAACTTTAGGACATGTGTAAATAAACAAGTGAAGTGACACGCTCAACTCAAGACTCGAGGTTTGCTCACTTTTATCGAATAAGTGACTTTTGTATCAATTACTCGACGAGAACTGCTGATCGGTCATTGGATTAGATAGAAATAATTGAATTCGTTACTACTAATATGTAAATTACCAATGTAAATAATAATCGATAGTTTTTCGAGTCGATTTATATTAATGAATAATACGACATACCAACAAACTGAATTACTCAATATCTCAATAATGAATACTTATACTTTAATTTTTTATAAATGGTTGTGAAAAGTTTATAAAACCAATCGTGTAAAATAAATAGTGTTAATACAGTAACCGATGAAAGGAAGTGTTATAGAATTTTTAACGACAGAATATGTTAACGGAATGGAGTCTATTGAAATTAAATTTGAGAAATTTTGAATTTCAATTGATCGTTTCCTATTGTAATATAGTTGAAGTAACTGAAAATAATATAGTCAGTTTATCATAATCACGGAAATGTGATAATATATTATAATATTATTATGCAATATTAATGTCTCAACTCTGCTAATATAAAATGTATAATTGATGTTTTCCGCTACCGCTTATAATGTCGCTTATCAAATAGACCACAAATTATGCATTGTTTTAATTAAAAACATGAGTGGACAGAATATTTTTAAAGTAACTATTTAAAAGCTCTCGTTAGTTACTTATCTAAACGTATATTGATAGTAATTGGAACAGGTCGATGTACTAGCGTGGACATAGATATTTAAAAAAATACTCTACATTATTTGAGCAATAGAAGCCAAAACATTTCTTTTTTCTATATATATGTTTCTATGCTAATCTTATAGAAATCACTGCATTAAACTGAATGCAATTATCACCGACGTAATGCTGGAGGTGTAACTTAAAATAAAAGCTATATTTTAGCAGATAGGAAAATATCTTTTTAAATTATAACCTATGTGTTATTCTGATGTATAAGCTATATCACTGTAAAGTTTCAAAAAATCTGTTCAATAGTTTTTGCGTGAAAGGGTAACAAACATCCATCCATACTCACAATATATACACACACACAGATTTGTACGATTGATATAAACAGATTTTGCAAGGGCCATGTTTTTGTATAACATCATATATGTATGTACCGAAAATTTACAAATAAATTTATTATTATTATTATACTTGGTAAGATAAAATAGGTACTTATGAATACAAATGTACATACCGTGCAAGGAATCGAACCCACGATAAGAAGAAGTAAGGCGATATACTAAACCGCCAGACTACAGAGACCATAATAAAAATAAATGAAATAATAATAAGTGTATTTATTATGGCATCAATGACCCATTTGTTAGTAATTTACATATTTTAAAACTAATGTTAGTAAAATCCTAATTTTATTTTATTACAATGTATTTAGTAGCATTACACTAACAGTGGTTACAAATGGTTATATCTTTGCCTAACAAGTACACTAACAAAATGTTGTATAATTGGCAGGTCAAATTGTTTCATAAATATATTCAGAATGCTGTTGGAGTATCTGATGAATAAAGATGCGGTTTTTTTTCGGATCATGGCATAAAAGTCATCTGTTCGTGCAAGAGCGAACATGCCAGATGCACTACATAAACGTGGTAGCCCCATCAACATCCTGAAACCATTGTTATATTGTACACGTAAGGCGTTGTTTTTTTTTCCATATTCGTCCATCTCCTTTTCAGTGATGAAACAGGCAAAGATCCTTAGACCGTACAGCCTAGTCTACGTTTATACTTCTTCATATTTGAACAAGTGATATGACGCTTGTGTATAGTTGACCCACAGAGCCGCAGTGTAGAAAGTTTAACAGTATGCTTCAAACAATATTAATTTACTACAACGAGAAAATCTGTGCGCCAACATGTCATAATGTCTGAACAAATTCCGTTGCGGCAATGAATGCGGTTCGGCAAAAATACCTCAAAAAGTAATGGAACGGTTTTCAATCACGAAATATTGGATTCATTCATATTTTCCCTTTATGGTTATCTCTTTGCATGTAAAGCTATTTTTTTGTTATATAAAATAATCCGATATAGTTTTTACAGACAGATGCTATATCCAATATAAATATTTATGAATGACGACCTCGGTGGTCTAGCTGTCTAGCACACCGCTTTCCGACCGATGGTCGCGGGTTCGATTCCTTGCACGGCACAAACATTTGTATTCTTGAGTCCGATTGTTTGTATCGGTCTGGGTGGTTTGTATGTATATACAAAAAAAATCTATGTATGTGTCAGTTATCTATTACCCATAACACAAGCTGTAGCTAGCTTAACTTGAGTCTAGATGTGCTGTGTGAATTGTCCTGAGATTATTATATTATTATTGTTATTATATATTATGAATAGTACTTTTTTAGTAGTTTAATCATTGACTGGTCTGCTTTTGTAGAAAGTGGACTGACTACGTGGGAACTCAGTCTCACCTAATTAATAATAATAATATATATTTAATTAGGCCGCCAAACAGCTTGCTTTGTAAGGTTTATTTTGGTAGAAAGGCCAGATAATGTATATGCAAATCGGAACATCATAGCACTACAAATATGAGGCTATACGCAATCCATTCGATTTGATGAAACTTTACAGTAATATAGCTTATACATGTGAATAGCATATAGGGTATAAATTTCACAGCTAGTTACATATAAAAAGCTGTGGCAATAGAGTATACTGCATCAACATTCCCTTTAAATCTTTAACGAAAACATACTCGAATTTATTACTCGACACTGAGAGAAATGTTCTCTATGAACTAATAAGTTCGTTGCCTTGGTTCAAAGAAATTGATGAATTTTCATTTCTGGAATTAGAAACTAAATTCAAAAGCATTTGGATATTTTTATTAATGCAATTACTACCGACCCGGTTTGCGTTAACATGGGTTCATTTATTGCAGGGATCTCAATTAATTCAACACTTTTTTTGGTATTTCAGTTACAAAAGTAATGTACTGTGTAATGTGTGGAAATTTTTAACCAACATAACTGTGTAAGTGACATCACGTTATCGTACGACGGCCATGAAACCACTCACGCGTTGCTATTTCGGAGGACTCAGCTGTAGTGTTTCTTATCCTGTACTTTCATTTCTTTGTACTAAATAGTAATTCTACTACTGTTACCTACTACTAAATACTAAACTGACTTTATTTGTTACTGTTTACATTAATCAATAACATTGAAATTTAGAATTTATTCTAAACCAGTTCATCTCAGATTGCCTTTCTACCTTCACCGATCATTCTTGTTCAATCACTTTATTGAATTAGGTATTATTTTGCGGAAGTACTGTTCACACACAATGTTCAAACTACCGTTACGACCTCCCTAATGGTGATCAAATTGAGTTTACACCCATATGTGTTTCACCTCTGAATGAGGCATTAAATAGAGATCGGATATAGCTTGGAAGCTTAGTGTTGACTATTCTGAATCGCGGTTTGGTAGCCGAACAGATAGCACTCCAAACCCGCGGAAGGCCTTATGGAGCGGCTGAAGGACAACTCCCGCCTGACGGGTACGACTTTAATCTGAGGACATCGCTAGGGGTTCGAACCTCGGCTCAGGCCATCGTAGTTTCAATCCCCGTTTGAATTGGACGGGGGATCGATCGGAGGGGGTTCATGTATATACAGGAAGTTGCTGGCTATAATATATCAGTTGGACAACTAGCTTGTTTGCATTCTAAATACATAAATAAATCCTAATAAATTCTAAAATTACAAGATATCATTTGTACTAGGATGGGTGAAGAGGCATCCATTGAACACAGAGTATGTTTTTTTTTAAAGGATGATAATGGAATGATGCACCCGCCTGCGCTAACGGTTTACGCTGGCGGGGCACCAGTGGAGGATGATAGGATGAACATGAGGTCAGGTCAGTTAGCCCATTGTGACAAATTCACAGGGAATGTATCACTATGGTTTCCAGGAGGAACCGCGTGGAGGTCGATCTGACATAGTACATTGCTAGCAATGGGACCATTTGTCCACATTACTAACAATCCCTTTCCTCCCCACACAGAGAATGTTTTTTTTTTTTAGTGGATGATAGTGGAATGGTGCACCCGCCTGCGCTAACGGTTTACGCTGGCGGGGCACCAGTGGAGGATGATAAGAGGTCAGTTAGCCCATCGTGACACAGAGTATGTTGCATAAATAATAATTAAATCTGAGTTGAGGCATTAATATTTTTATAGGTTTGTCCATTAAGGAGTATTGTACATACGTGGGTTTATAAATGTAAATATGTTTTGTATTATACAGTTAATCCTATTTATATCTTAAGTGATTTGTTACCATTATCAGTTGTTACTTCCAGGCCGTGAAGATATTGTTTACAATTTTAAAAAAATCCTGAAAACTATCACAATTGTTTTGTTACATTGTATAATATAAATGCATCAAAGTACCGAGAACTAAAAGAGGAAAAATGAGAAAATATATTTCCTTGTGTATTTAAACTGTAGTTAGTTAGTTTTGAAGGAAATTTTATTTTATATATTGTTACCAATTGACCCCAAACGGGGTTAGACGCTGCGCCACTGATTTGAGAATACCTCTAAAAACCCAATCTGGGATAATATTCTTAAAGATATATTATATTTTCTTTCCATAACAGTGTATACTATCTTGTTTTATCGGTCATACTATCTTGTTTTGAAATATACTTATTTCTATTTAATCTAAAAATTATATCAGAGGCAAAATCCAAAAAGGAAAACAAAATTCACAACACCTTGTATTTGAGGTCTATTTAAAAAAAAATAACGTCAGGCTTTGTTTTTAATGTCTTTAGTATTTTTTATGGCATAGGAAAAAAGTAATATGTATGTATCTCCTATACAGATAAGAAAACAAGTACAATTGTGATAGTGATGGCTTTGACTCTATCTTTGAATACTACTGGAGACCTGTC